CAAGGCCGGAATTGATCCATGTCTTTTTAGTCGTAAACGTCCAATTCGGCTTGTAAGCTGTCCGAATGAATCGATGTTCATGGAGAACGACGATGCCGCCAACTCTACTGTAGCATGTTCCGAGGAACAGTTTATCTCCGGTGTCATAAGCGGCGTTGAGAGACTGGCGTCTTCTCGTCTCGGCCAGGCCGATGACGTCGTACCTTATCCTTCTTGCTTGCATGACCAAGTCTTCTATCGAGGACTCGGATGAAAGTGTTCATGCATTGTAGGTACAGATCGTCACCATAGTTCTTTGAAATCCAGGCAGCTTCCATTGGCTCTGAGATTTTAGCAACCTCTCGCTACTCGTCCCACCCAACGCTGCGAAATTTGGGGCTCTTTCGCGAGGGGAATGAGGCCCGTTTCTTCTACTGTTTTTGGCTTTTTGGTACCCACGTATAGTTTGCTGGGCTCTAAACGTAGAGGCTGGGTATACTCACGCGTAGCTTGCCAGGCTCTTCCAAAGTGGACATGGAGCTTATTTGTTGGAAGCGGCTCCTAACCGCCTCCCATATACTTCCCAGTCACTTGATTGCAGTCTTTTGGCCGAATTGATTCCTAGAATACAATCCGCATAAGCGATAACGCACCCACACACGCATGCATGAATAGGCCTAGCAAATACAGAAAGTATGCGCCAAATCAGCGCGGCAGAAACAGGAGTCCACCCCTGGATCCACCTGCGTCTCAGGGAAGCAAAGGTCGCTTTTGGTCCGCGACTAACCCCTTATCCGCCACCTGGAGACGCGCCACGTAGCCTGGCGACTAAGCGGCTCGAGATCCCTCGTATGAGTGAGATCCGTGGATACGTTGGTAAGGAGAAGAAAATAACAGACATTAAATAAAAAGTCATACATTGTGGTCTCTTTTTGTAGCAGAATCGACTACCATTTCCCAGCACTGGGTTTCTAGTATCCGCGTCATTGACCAGCACTTCGCTGCCTTCTCATCCCACTATTCCTAATTGCTGACGTTTCGGCGATTTCGCTTTCTTCAGAGCCTGAAAAGGTCAAATTGAAACGCAATCTACTCGGCCAAACACTTTCATAACCTTAAAAGGTAAAAGATAATAGGCAGATCTTATTGTTTATTGTTTAGTTTGTTTATCAACCTCGTGTTAGCTTATCAATGAAGGAACACATGCTGGTTAGTAATACCAAGGTTGAAAGAAAGTCAGTTTTTGAAGTATTGCTACGTTTACTTACTTGATACTTGAATGGCCCGTCCTCACTGGTTGTGCGGGCCTCATCATAATCTCCACTTTTCGGAGACTTACTGGTTAAGCCATTGTGGTTCCCTTGAGTCCTAAGGTGAGCTTGGCCAAAGTCTTCCCTAGGTTGTCATCACCACAGGTAGTCGCAGCCTTTGTGAATCGGAGAGAGATTTTCCACCATGCGACTTTCGTACCAGAACGGTGGTGGATCCTTGTATTGGTTTACTCTTAGCTAGGCTTCCTGATGGAAACGCCGGACTCCTTCTCAGCTTGGGAGACCGTTTCAGGTGATGCATCCAGTGCTGTACATCACAGTCCGACACCCAGGAACACCTCCCAGCCACGATGAGGCGGCAAACCGTTGGGAGGATTGCTACGTTTAGTGTTATTTAACGCAATACCGACTGCTGTAGGATGGATTGTCCGTCGAAAAACGAATTACATCACTACATTTTTATATTTATAAACTATATTGTTGCCTTAAATTATTATCAAGTCATGTTTTCGCAATTTTTTCTCTTATTATCACATTATCATACTTTTCAACGATCTTTTATACAGGACGGCTCTTGTTGATAATGAGTGGCCGTTGATAATAATCTACTTTTCAATGCACACACCACCCTTCAGCAATCGGTATTAGATAGGCTTGCATGTAGTAAATGAAGAACACTTTTCAAACCGATCGTCATTTAACCTCGGAATTAATGATCAGTACCTTTTTGGATTGTTAAGTTAACGCGATGTTGATGAAAAAATTTATTCGGTTAATGTTTCGACGTCACCCTCTTCCTCAGAAGCGATGGTCCGACTCCAATGGTCCATAGTGGTTCGTTCTTTCCACGTGGTGTCCTCCTCGTGTCCAAAAATACTCATCGTTTTTTTCCTTATAAATGATCCAGTTCTTGCTGGAGACCAACCGCAGAGAGAATTACATGCGTGAGGAATGTGTACGGCTCAGGTTAAAAAGTGAGCTTGAAGGATGACGTGAGGTCGCTCCTTCCTGTGGTTCACTTGTGAACATTCGGAATTTATCGAAAACTCTTCAAGAGTTCAACATGCTAACCGTTAGACTCGTGCGCGAAAATAGTGAGTTTTTGTCAAAATCTTCCCAGTTATGCCTTCGTGTCCTATCAGTGCCTAGTCCAGTAATGTTTTGTTCGCTTTCAGGTTTCCCGACTAGGTGCTCCCTTGCGCGGTCGCAGAATGGCCTACCGGTTTCACCAACATATTCGTCTCTACACGCTTTACGGATCAAATACACTGTGCCTGAATTCATGCATTTACCATCCATACGTGAGGGCCAACGAAGCAGTTTTATACTGTATGTGGATGGTCATTGAAGTAGCTAGCATTAGCTGACGTCCTAGAGTATTCGGAAGTTTTTGGGGTCACTGCTACCGATTTTTTAGACTAGCCTTTTTCAACCATTGATTTGTAGTTGTGCTTTTTTTCACTTTATTTTACGTGGTCCGTCATTGCATCCACTGCGCAGATTCCAGCACTTTTTGCATTCGATTCGTTTTCCTCGCACCCGCCGTCCACAGTGATGTTCCAATATTTTGCGTGTTTCTTCAGCTGCTGCTTAAGTATTTCTTCTTCTTTATGAATGCCGTAGAATGCTGGTCGTGTCGATTCCCTTTGCAGTCTTTGAGATAGTCGGACTAAGGCGTTCCCACGTGAACTGGAAGAGACCGTAGGGCGGAGACCGAACTGGAGCTTTTGATTCTTGGCCGACCGCACTACTAAGCACTGCGCTATCCCCAGTTGTTTTACTTGTACTTGCTCCGTTGAATTATGGGTTTTTATAAGCGATAAATAAAAAGGATAAACTATGCGTCATGCATTCTTTATTAGCATCGTTGAAGGTGACTATCTGGTCTTTAAAATGACTCGGAGTGGTCTGCAGATGCATGGAGCCAGTGCTGCTATCCTCCCAGAGAAGTCTGATACCAATTTTCAAAATTTCAAAAAAGACCGGATGAGAAAATTAGGGCTTTTTGTCAGATATCCACTCATGCAGCATCAATCCAACTACGTGCACACCCGTGATTTCAATTTATGAACGTTGCAACTATTTCATCAGAGAGAGGAGAGAATAAGCTAGCAGTAAGAAGATGAAGAACGCTGCATGTCACCGGTTATGGACGAACTACCACCTATATGGTGATGTGCTTATATTTAAAATAGGTTTGGGGGATATCAAACTATAGTTCCATCCATTTCTCTTGAAGACTATGTAATAAAAAATTCCAAGTTCTTTGAGGACTTTACACGCCAATTTCTAGTTCATTTACTCATTCGATTTCACAGTCCATTCTTCTAGTTATACTATTAACCCTCCCAACGATTTACCCCTCATAGGGGCTGGGAGGTGTTCCCAGATGTCGGGCTGCGATGTAGCGGGGGATTCATCCCCTTCGCAGGGTCTCCCAAGCTGAGAAGGAGTTGGGCGTTTCTGTCACGAAGCCCAGCTAAAAGTAAACCAATACCAGGATCCACCAGCGTCCTGGTATCAAGTTAATCACATGATGGCAAATCTCCATCTGATTCACAAGGACGGCAACTGCCTGTGGTGGTGGTGACCAGGGAAAGACTTTAGCCAAGATGATTTGGGGACTCCGGGGAACCGCAACCGCTAAACTACCAAAGCTCCGAGAGATGACAATTATGCTAAGGCCTGCACGACCAGTGAGGACGAGCCATACAAGTATCCAAGTAAGTCATACTATTACGTGTATTGCAAAACTGTCGTATCTAGGTTTAGGACTTCTTGACAATACAATACAAAATGTTTTTATTCTGCACTTATTAACATATGTGAACAATGTATACAACTTAGTAATTTCACAACCTCTATCACAAACCATCGAGCAGCTGCATATCACATTACGAGGGTACTAGTAACATCCACTGCAAAAAAACCGACATGATTTTTGAAAGCGCATATAGACCAAGATTTCTGATGAAGCCCCTCATTCTATAGAGTACATTATTAAGCATATCTTACCTCAGACTCACAGTTTTGCATAACAGCAAATTGTTAAAAATAGATTGGAAACAAAAAGATTTGAAGACTTCATCTGTACCGATCAGAGTTTTGCTAGACAAAAACGATAGCTTCCCGAATAATTACTTTTTACAAGAAAATCACAAATGATTTCTACAGTGGATGTCATCTGGGAAACACATCAGAAGTGAATCCAAGGAAACACTACGAAGTTAATACACATAATGTCACGCTTCGCTTCCTAGATGTGATAAAAAAAAACCGTTTGAAGAAATAAAAACTTTTCAAAATGATGAAGGCACATCGTGAAATTTGAACAATAATCATCAAATGAGAGATTAGAATAGACAGCCTAAGGTCTCAAAGGAAAGATGTTTAGACCAAGGCACTCATTTCGCTACAAAAGGAACTAAGTTCATAACTAAAACGAGCCGGATAACCAATAAACGTAATCTGCTGATATGTAAGCTAAAAATGTGGTCCACCGCTCTATCCACATTGATGTAGGAATAAACTAGCCCATAAATAAGACTTTTTCAATACCCGATGTTACAACAATATAGCCGTTCTAGCAAACTAGGGCACAATTTCACCGATTAAGCTGCGAATTAAGGTAAAGAGAAATGTAGATGAATATTATGCTAGCATATAGAGTTGTAGACAAATATTATGCTAGCATATACACTGTAGGAGCATGAAAAAAAGATATATGGACAACCTAACAGAAATAACAACTCACGACTGCTTGAAACGATTCTCGCCTATAGGAAACATGATCATACTGGCTCGTAAGAAGTCAATGTCTGGCAACTGATCATGAAGAGCACGCGCGTCGAGTGACAGTTCGGACGGCGGCCGAATTATTTTTTTGTCTAACTTGGTGGCAGACGCCATAACAACGTCTAACATAGACCTGGTACTTATTTAGAATTACATAACCGAAAAACAGTAGCAAAGACGAAGAAGTTAAAGTGACTCACGGCTGGTTCTCACGCTTAGCCCGTGTCTGAGACAACGTGTTTGAGATACCAAGTTGATCGAGCTCTTTTTGCAACGTCGAAATTGCAGATGAATTTCCACCACCACTATTAGCCCATAGAAAATCGACGTCAAGTAAAGCAGAAGAGCGATCTGAACGAAACAATAACGTAAACCAGCTGTTCAAGTCTTGAAGCCCTATCTATGTTGAAACAGACATCACCACTTCCTAATTAATTGTCTGTTGATTAAGAAAACAAACAAAAACGTGGAACACAAATTTTGTCATTCTTCTCTCAGCGAAATATCCATGTTTAACCCAACAATGCAGCCGCCACATTATGTCTGCGGACTGATCTTGCATATTGAACTATGATGTACAGCAAGAGGAGATCCTCTACTAAGAAAGTCGCTGAATCAAAAAACGTTCAAGATTCCAGACCAAAAATTCAACCAGCAATCAACTAACGTTGATAATCATCGACGTTCTGGAAGAAATCCACTGGAAAGGTGGCGAAATCCTTCTACCACATAAGTAACGTTGAGTGCCTCTTTTGGCAGTGCTATGGTTTCCTCAGAAAGTGTGAGAAAAACGCCAAACGAGAAACATAACAGTTAAACGAAAAATATGCTGGGGCTCAAACAATTGAAGTTTGTGTTATGTTTGGTTTTTCACACTGCGACAGTTACCGCACTTCTCAGAGCTCACAAATTCGAAGACATCCGAAAGACGAGTTGAGCAAACCAAGTTCAAAAACCCAGTATAATACGAACTTAAATATAAAAAAAAAGGTCACCACAATAGGTGATACCAAGGGTTGCGAAGAATGTATCTTCCTGTATTAAAAATATTATCTCGTTTTCTGATAGAAAAACAGGAAACGCACTTGCTGCCATCGTCGGATTGACTAAATCCGACTTTTCCCAGTCAAAATCAGCGCTCGGTATTGATGGTGATTCGATTGGTACAGTGGTAGCCGTTGATTGAGAATCAGAGGCTGGTGCCTCTGCCGAAACCACTTTGGCATCGTGTGCTCCTTCTTCACGAGAAATTATTACAGATCGGCGTCTGGAAATTCATAGTGCAAAATGCTCTAGAGTTTCAGCACATAACGTATTATGGCTATACACACATTGTGAAAAAATATCTTCATAAAACTATTACAGTACTACAAATATCATAGGAAACAGTCTGAATTAGTAAATAAAGCTCTAAAAAGCTCTCGTCGTTGATCAATCCCTGAGGGATGCGCCATGTATTCGACTTCACTAAGTGTCGCTGGAGGTGACTGAATGAATATCTGGCCTTTACAATGGCTCGCGGTGGCCTATCCATGTATCGAGCCAGTGCTGCTATCTTCCCAGACAAGTCTGGTACCAATTTGCCGACCGCGTAAGGATTGAAGGCGTGGTGAGCCATGGGCGTAGAGATCGATTCCACGTGTGTGTCGCAGTGGGGCCTCCAACCACTACGCCACACGCACCCTTTTTTGTAGATACGCCTGAATAAGATTCTACGGAGAAACCAGAAAGACTAGGCCCTGAAGAAATATGCTTGGATCTAAATCACGCCCTAAGAATGCGCCTATTTTCGCATAGTATGCACGATATAGTTATGAATAAAGCAAAAAACAAACATGGAAATCAATATCTGACATGTAAATCAAAGAATAGATCGAATGTAGAAGAAGGCATCGATATTTCAACCGAGAAATTAAATTTTCAAACAATACGCAGACCCAGCATCAAAAACGGGTAGCAGAACAACTGCTTGTAAAAGCTCAGCAACAAAGTTACGAACTTAAACAGTAGAAAGCCCTATTGTAATAGCAAAACTATGCACTGTAGATATTAAAACTAGCGAAAAAAGAACGGCGGATGAGTAAATTCTGCCACATACTTCTTGAACTCCGAAGCAGATAGAATGGCGCAGATCTTGTTCAGTTAATGGACAAAAGAGTTGTAAAGCTTTAGTCATGACATGTGTTTATTCCATTAATATAGGGAAAACCCACGTTATACCATTTGCGATTAACGGTGTTGGTTCTAATACAGTAAACATTGAAGGTGATGAGGAAACACGACCATCATCAACCTGAATTATAGCCAGAACTTCTCGGTATCAAATTAATACAGAAAACAAAATATAAGCGAGTTCCAGTAAAACCTACCGGATCAACACCTAATGCTTTGAAAAGATTAACTCTATGCTGTGATCCCTTCCATTCGAACTTCAACGCTAAAGCATCTTCAACTACTCGCAGAGCAAGCCAAAGCTCATAACCTCTGCAAAGGTGTTCTAAGATTGATCAGAGCCAATATAAAGGGGAAAAACCTAATGCGAAAATCTATGTGATTAAACAAAATCGAACGAACTTAACGAAAGGTATGGCGCTATTTTCCTTCACTTCTGAAGCATCGGAGTCGAGCAAATTAATAATATTGTATCCCTGAATTAAGGTGCCTTACTCATAGAGTATATGGGTTGTTATAAAATGAAAATGAAAATAGTGACCGAAATTACGAGACTATTTAAAGGTTCAGCACCTTGTCGTGACCTATTTCGTTCTCCACATTCCATAGATCAATAAAATCACATAAATCATCCAAAATTGGAGACATCAACTGCAAAAAGGAATTCCACAACAGAAAATTCCATTAAAAAAATTTAAAAAGGCTGACCGTTTCGGGTATCGGAACATTAGTAGCTAGAGGACTCGAGTCACTACTGGTACCATCGACTACTTCAGGAATGGACTTATCAAAATCGTCAAAGTCCGCCGACCAATCCCTATCTTGAAATTCGGAAAATAATAAATTGAAAACCAATGTTATGTCCATCAGCACTGCAAACAGATTGTACAACAATCTCACCATTTCTATATTCTTGAAGTGAGCTAAAGGCATTCCATTCATCGTCCTCACCACTTTCCTCAACAGTGGCAGGCCAAACCTGTTGAAAATTGTCGAAACTTATCGAAATAATTTATCATATTAAGACACACTTGACACTTGACACTTGAACGGCCCGTCCTCGCTGGTTGTGCGGACCCCAGCATAATCACCATTTATCGGAAATTTGCTGGTTAAGCCATTGTGGTTAACTGGAATCCCAGTCTGGCCGAAGTCAACCCCAGGTCTCCACCACCATGGGCAGTCGCAACCCTTGTGGATCAGAGAGATTTGCCATCGTGCGACTTCGATACCAGGACGGTGGCGGATCCTGATATTGGTTCACTCTTAGCTAGGCTTCCTGATGGAAACACCGGACTCCTTCCCAGCTTGGAAGACCCTGCCCGGGGGGAGGAATCCCCCCACTGTACATCGCAGCCCGACACCCAGGAACACCTCCCAGCCACGATGAGGCGGTAAACCGTTGGGAAGTTATATTAAGAAACAAGAGAAAACAACAAATGTTGAAGCAGTAAAAGCAAACAAAAATGTTGCACACTGAAACTAAAGGAAACAAAAGTTCCAAAGCCCTAAAGAACAATATGAACTGACTAACGTACTGGCTTACTAACTTCAGCCATCTGTCCAGATGAATGGAAATCCTCAGAAAAAGACGGTTGAGGTAGGGGATCGGAAAGACCTGGAACATTTCGCATTTGATTAGGTCAAAAATAAAAATCAAAGCGTCAAAAAAAAATGGGCTTAGCCAAACGAGAACGATGTCATCATTGGTAAGTATTCCAAAGACAACTAAGTAGCCGTTTTCTAAAACTTGCCCGCTTCCTTGATCTCAGATGTCCCAGGATGTTGACCAGTAAAATCGGCAAAATCACCAAACTCATCCTCAGTACTCTCATCATCTTGTAGAGAATCCAACCTATGCACTTCACAGTTTCTCTCTTTTGCAAAAGGACAAAAATCGACAGATGTCCGACCAAGTTCTGCAAGCAAGCTGTTTCGAAAAATAGCCGCTTTCATTCAAGAGTTTTGTAAAAGTGAACGAACCTCTATCGACTGGTAGTTCATTTATCACCGAGTTCGGATGATTCTGACCCAAACACTTTTCATGACCATCATCTGAGTCTTTCGTCGCAGAATTTTGCTTGCATGAAGAGAACTGAGGTGAAGCTGATGAGGAGGTGCAGGGTAGATCCGTTGGAATTTCAAGATGTCCAGTGCTAAATTCTTCCTCGTCATCGACCGTCATTCGAACGTCGCACTCAACATCTGGGAGCTCGTCCAACGCTCCAACGAATGGAGGTGGAGCTTCGAAGTCCATCTGAAGCAATACATGCAGTACAAGCCACTTAAGCCTTATGAGGTACTCAGTCCCATAGCAACGGTACATGACTGAAGGGTAGGATTCTAGGCAGTTACAGCAACAATATAGGCAGTCACATCGGGAAGTTCAAGTAAAAATGACGCCTGGATATTTCGTTCCTGGCTATGCTACATTTTGCAGTATCCCTTCAATTCCAATTTCATGATCTATATTCACGTGCTTAACACTTAGGGTCCGACGCGAGTTGATTTCCGTTCACACGGCGCGAAAACAACGATCGTCTTCAACTTCAAACTGTTTACTTTACCTCAATGTGAACTTTATTAATTTAAGTGAAGACAATCAGAGCCTGTACATCTTGTAGTAACTCCCACGTCTGACTTTCTATTAACCTCGGCATTGATTGAATAATTCTTTCTTACTTCTGTTTAGCAAACACGAGGTGTTATGTTATTTTTTTATTAACGTACAAGCTGACGTTTCGGCGGATTTCGCCTTCCTCAGAGCCTGGAAAGATCAAGTTGACTGCAATCTAGACGGCCAAACACCTTCATAACCAAAGAAAGAAAATGCTGAACCAAAATTTCAATCAGACTGATTACAGAATCTTTGCACACTCACCGCTTTCTATAAGTCTTCCACTAAATACAATAGATACTAAATACACTTCATTACCTCCCCTCTCACCCCTCTCACACGATAAGAGCGCTTGTGAGAAATATATTTCGAACAGCTGCCAGCGTGTGCACAGGAAGACAGCAGAGAGAGAAGTCCTGGAACTTGGCGCGGCAAATAGCCATTTTTAATGACTACTAAACCGTAGCTCGAGATAGGTGTAGTGGAAACCACAGGTATCACAACGATAACTCTAGCGACAATAAGGTCCCGTTTGTACTGCCCTTCATTTCAAATGAAGTACAGATATAAAACGCTGTTTAAGAAGGACCGGTCTACAAAATTCGGTAACGATAATTGAAATATTTATTTATGTGATCTTGTAAACTGATCTTCTTAAGCTGACGCGAGGTTGGTACAGGTCTTCGTTATCGTTTTCGTTGTTTTTGATGTCATTGATCGATGGCTGACGTTTTGGCGACTTCGCCTTCCTCAGAGCCGTGATGTCCCGGTCCCGGTGATGACTGGCCAGTCCCGCACGTAACATCACGGCTCTGAGGAAGGCGAAGTCGCCGAAACGTCAGCCATCGTTCAATAACATCAAAAACAACGACAACGACAACGACAACGAAGATCTGTACCAACCTCGCGTCAGCTTAAGAAGATCAGTTTATAAGGTCACATAAATAAATATATCAACTATCCATGCTGAGGTTTATAGAAAGTCGGTCTTTCGAGTTATTAAGAGATAATTGAAATGCCACCGAGTAATCTAAGACGCCAGCTAGTTCGTAACCACCTATACGACCTTCTATTTGCAACGCAAAGCGGCATAATTTGTCCGAATAGTAGAGACGGCGACTGCATGAGTTTGGGTACAGTCTATCTGATCTCTTGTAAAGTGTGCGGAGACGAATACGTTGGTGAAACGGGTCGACCACTCTGCGTGCGTATAAAAGAACACCTAGTCGGCAAACGTAAACCAAATACTCCACAAGGCACGCAAAGGACGAAGAGACTTAACGGAAAAGATTTTGAAGTAGGGGTTACGATCCTCGCGCACGAATCGAGAATACAAGCGCGGAAAACTCTAGAGGCATTCTGGATTAATTCCGAGAAACCGAAGATGAACCGCAGGAAGGAATGCCTTAATACCGCGCGTGATATTGGGCAGTATATAAGCCTGTTATTTTGATGAGATGGCCACAATACGATTCCGTGTGAACTCTGTGCGGTTGGTCTCCACGTGACGTACTCAGTGGAAGACTTATAGAAAGCGGTGAGTGTGCAAAGAAGCCATTATGTGTTGAATGTGATTTAATTTTTGGTTCAGTATTCTCTCTGTTTGGTTACGGAGGTGTTTGGCCATGTAGATCGTAGTCAACTTCACCTTTCCAAGCTCTGAGGAAGGCGAAATCCGCCGAAACGTCAGCCTGTACATCTTAGTCAATAAGATGCTAAATCCCTAATTCTACTCCTTCTACTATGAAATCCTGATTTCACGGAACTCAGCGTCGCACCTCGGTCGCTTTTTTTTCGTCGAAAGAAAGTATTCGAAAAGTGAAAGCAATTGAATAAGCGATATTTCCTCTACTGGAACTTGGCAGGTTCTCTAAATACGCTGCTGATCACTTGGCCACCAGAATTTCGTTTGACACCTCATAAATTCACATTTCGTTTTCACTTCTTTCGGAAATCCTTATTCAAAACAATCTTAAAGGCCAAACAATAGGTTTAAAAACCCAAACCCAGACTTAAATAGGTCCAGAAAAGCCTCTTGTATAAGGCGATAGCGTTTTCAACAGCCCAAGTGCTACAGTTACTGAAAAATTTTCAGCTGTTTATGAAATACCAGTGCAGTCGGACCCTAAGCAGTAATTTCTAAGGAAAAACTGCACAAGTGATTACCTTTCCTATTATATGCTTACTATATTTCTATAACAGTGAAAAACTGCTTGAAACAACAGCCTGAATGCTACGAAAATACAGAATCCTGCTACCGACTGTTTCTGTGTAGAAAGAAAAGGTAAAACTAAGGATAGAGGAAAAAAATAATGAACGTGTCCCTTCAAGGAACAAGAACGTGATAATCGATAACACCACAACTAAATGATAACCATCATGGGGCCACAGTGACACAGTATGCAACACATGAGCCCCGGTAAGGGCAATTGCGGGTTCGAACCTGGCCTGGGGAACAAGTTTTGTAAACACTCCAGCATCATAGTGGTTGCAATTGACATCATACCCTGCCGTGAGAAATAATAGTAGGCAATAGATTAAAAGTTAGCACTGGATAATAATCGTTAGAAGAATGGTGACCAAGTAGTGCAAATGAGGCAATCAAGCGCATCTGTCCAACCCGTCACTGGTCCCGAACATACGGCAGAGCTTTCCAAACATTCCATAGCTGGCAAATAACACGTCACAGAAATATCAGAGAATGAATTACAACAAAACCTGCCAAGCAAGTGCCTTGTGAAAGTCAACCTCGAATCAGCATAACACTGAAAAGAAAACTAACAAAAAAGCTCTTACGAAACAGAAATGAAATCGGGGATATCGCATCGAAACTACACATCGACATGGAAACCGCCTGCTACACTCAGAAAATAGTGGGCAACACAAGGACAACTTCCTTAACGACCAGTCGACGCCCGCCCATCGCGCAAAGGTTGCACGATTCTGGCGAGCACGCGCACAGAGATTCAACCCGTCTCCCAGAATTGGCGAAATTCCGGTCTATAACATCCAGGAACATTTTTCATCCTTGAAGCTATTGATTTCATCTTAAGTTCGTGATACTGAACACTGGGTTACGCTACTCTGTACAGTTTTAGTACTGCTGCAGCGTGTTTTTGGGCTTCAGCCGTGGTTTGTGTACATTTTCAATCCCGTACCTCTTCACATTTCTGCCGTTTTAGCGTTTATGACCCATCTTATGTACTGTTTTACTGGTTATTTCTTACGTACCACTTTATTGTCGCCATATTCTGCCCTGAATAGCAAAATGACGAAGATATCGCGCATGACTGGCGAACACCAAGCGTTAAGCGTTTTTTCTTCCTAATTTTGAGTTAATCTTACTTGGACACTTGGATGGTCCGTCTTCATGTTGTGCGGACCCCAGCATAATTTCCATTTTCCCGAGATATGCTGGTTTAGCCATTGTGGTTGCGTGGAATCCCGATATCAGCCTGGCCAAAGTCTGCCCCAGGCCGTCACCACCACCGGCAGTGGCTGCCCTTGTGGATCAGAGCGAAATTTGCCACCAACGGTGGTGGATCCTCGTACTGGTTTACTCTTAGCTAGGCGGATTCCTGATGGAAACGCCAGACTCCTTCCCAGCTTGAGAGACTATGCTGGGGGATGAATCCCTCCGCTGTACATTGTAGCTCGACACTCAGGAGCACCTCCTAACCACGGTGAGGCGGTTAACCGTTGGGAGGTTTATAATCACCTTCTAAACATGTCATGTGTTCCTCAGTGTAATAACAGATGAAATAGAATGGAAATTAAACATGTTCCATTAGGTTCACCGTTTCTAAAAACGAGAGATCAGTATGTTTGACGTATTTCCCTCTTTTTCAGGGTTCCTTTCAAAGTTTGTTTAGATGCCAATTCTGTAACTATTGTACCACCCAACTCTACCTGAATATTGTATGCAACAGGTGTATACTGTAGTTCCAGAGAGTCTAGGATGAGAAGCACATTAAACTGAATGGGGAACATCAAGCATAGGTCGTCAACCACATGCGACTATAATCAGCTGTTCTAAACTTCCTCATTGGAAGTCACGAAAAAGCGGCTCTGAAGAAGGCGATACTGCCGAAACGTCAGCTAGCGTTGTATTGTATTGTGTTTTTCTATGGAAGTAAATGTATGCTGTTTAAAAACCTCGCGATTGCTGAACAAGAAAACGACGCATCAAGCATAGGGTCCACAGCGATTAGGAGCAGCTCAATGGTTTGAAATATCGGCAGAACCGCAAGTTATTCTTGTCAACAGCTGTTGTTTCCATAAAACCACGTTAGACAATCTCTTGTTATGAAAAGCAGCTTTGAGTTTCATCTAGATTTCCGGATGAGCCAGGTTCATGCAGACTCTGGATAACGCACATATGGTCTGTTGAACTGCTTCTTTCAAATGGTCCGAATAACGAAATCAATAGGTCCTTAACTCTAACCTACGATTTAGTATTCTACCAAGAGCAACTCACAATGATATAGAAAAACAATACGCACTAATGAGCGAAAATAACTCCTGAATGTAATGTACGAAGAGATATCGATTGATTTTGAATTGGTAACGAGTGTGTACGTGTTTCACTAAAGAATCAGCGTTATTTTTGTGATTTGTATGGTCGGAGCTTTTAATTCAAATAGAACATTCTGCTGGATGAATTGACTCTTTGATGTGTCTGCTCGATTTTAAGGCCAACAGTAGTTTTTGTTTTCTTTCTAGTGTTATTTTAGATTGTCACTATGCTTTACTCGTGCTAATCCAGGCAGGAGTGGGCGCTTTGCTTACCACCCATTCGCTCTGAATTGCTATTCCATTTGGTGGCTTGCTAAGCTTTAAACCTTTCGGACTGTTCTTGACAACGAAGGGAAGGGTATGTGGCCAGACACCGACCAACGGCCTGTGGACTATGTTAGTTACTTCTTGCGGTAGTATCGTCTTAGATCGTACTTGTTTCACGATCTTCATTTATAGTTTTAATTATGCGATTCATTTCAGCATATTTCATACGTCTTCTTATGCTATTAATAGTTCTACTTGCCGTACTCACCTCCAGTTTTCTTAGGTTTGCCGGTCTCTATTATGACGACTAAATCGGAGAATTTCCTTCCAGGCATGATTCTATGTTAACTTGTGAACAGATCATTTGGCAGTCCGGTATACTCCATCTTAAGAGGATCAGTGTGATATTAGGTGTGCTCGTTCGTGATGTGGTCTTTCACCTTATCGAATAGTTTTTCTATTCATTTCAGGAATTTTATTCCGGTCTAGCGGTGGAAGTGTATTGATGCATGTCTTTCAACCGATCCCAAACCGAGTCTTCGTCGATAAAATCCGCTACCTCAACCGTGAGACAATCAGAGTGGGTTTCACCTTATATACTTTAGGTTGGAGGCTCTTCGCATTCTATTTATACCGGAATGAGTTCGCTTTTCCGCGCCCCAAGCTCACCGAGCCCTCCACCCCTCCGGGGTCCGCGTATTGGTAGCAGACCTGTCTGGGAGGATATCAACACTGACTCCATACATCGGTAGACCGCCGCGAGTCATTGTATCGGTCAGATATGCATTCGACCACCTCCAACGTTATTTAATGAAAGGATTGCAGGAATGAAGGGTTGATTAACACCGCTAACAATTAACGCTGTTTAGATGCTTTTTTTTTGAAGTTCGCTTTTTTAGCGGTGATACCTCAAGCAGAGTAAAAGCCACCGAACTTCTCGTTCCTATTTCCGATCGACAATGCCCATTGGTTTTTCATGAGATCTATGATGTGAAATTTTTCGGCTTGGAAAAGTGTCATCCGTTCGATGCCGGAAAATGGGGCAAAGTGCATGCGAAGTTGAAAAGTATGTTCATATATATTCATTCGTTCATATACACTATAGACTTATGCTTAGGTCTATTGTATACTGGAATATACGTGGTATCGATTTGTATCGGCAGGCGATGCATGTTTTTACTTCATGTTGTAGCCGTCTCTTTCTTTACTTCTTTCAAAATTTATCCTTGGTCCTTAGCTAGAGTAACACGTTTTTTTGCAGAGTGGAGGCTTATTTCTGATGACGCTACAGTTAGACCAAATGAGGCGACCAAAAGCGATCTTCTTATTGTTCATAGTAGATGGTTCGTGTTCTTTCTCTGATCTTCTCTTAAAGCTCTCAGTATTAAATTCGTGTAGCTGCGGAAATTCAATATCTTTGTAGTTCTTTCTTAGTTACCTGGCGAGCCTCTATTCACCGTGTGTTCTTGCTAAAGTGATTGAAGTACCTATTGCTTGCTTGGTACCAAATTGTATCACCGACAAATACTTTCTGAAGCGAATGAGGTATGTAATCTCTCTCTCTGATCATACTTTCCTTTCACTTCACTGTTTTCAAATACAGCGATTTGCTTAACAAACATACAACAGGTCAGTTTTTTTATACGTACCTAGTTTGATTTGGTCACTTTTTACTTTCCACTTTCTGTGGGTTATATTTGGTTGAAATCCTGCCCAAAATTGCTTTGTGTGCAAAGGAAAGTTGTTTGTTTTTTTTTTAAATAAGCACAAAGAGATGATGAGTCCAAAAGTGGTTTACAAAGGATGATTCAAACGTTGAGATATGTTGTTACGTCTATAATTTATTAATGAACGAGGTAGCTTCGGTTTCTTTTTCTTCATCTGTCCATGTTCAGCATCGATTAGATGTAAAAGAGGATTCTTGAACTTCTATTATCTTTAAAGAAAGTTCTTTTTTTCAACAACCTCTGCTTGTTACTGACGTTCTCCTTCTGCTTCGTTTGGTTGGATCGAACATACTAATGCCATGTTTCTTATCACAGCACCACAAACTTCTGTCATTGTTGTCATTCACATGCCGATTTTCTCTTCAGCTCTTTAATTTTTATGATTTTAAACCCTTAGAAGTCGAAAGCAATACGGAACACAAAGTAAAACGCTCAAGACTTTCAAAAATTCCTTTACGAACGTGTTACTCGTCTTTGTACTCAGAATAGTGCTGAAAAGACTGTTTCATCATCATTGTGCTTCTGGCTGTAGTAAGTTAGGACTCAAATAAGAATCGAAAGAAGCCGATCGATCCTTCCTACATGGTCTTTCGCTTTCACTGAAGGTGTAATAACTAGCTGTTTTTCACATAATACCCTGCCATGAAGAAAGAATAGGCTGGATGTGAAAGTTAGAACACTAAGTGGTTGTTCTTTAATTTGTTTTAGATATCAATGCGGAGGTACTGTAGCCGCCTGTCGAATCGCACTTGATCGTGGCTGGGCTGTTCATCTCGGTGGAGGTTTCCATCATGCATATCGTGGGTATCAGAGATTTCTTGTCATTAAGATTCATAAGAAGAATGGATCGAACGTCAAACGATCTTACTGTTTCTTAACAGGGAGTTCTGGAGGTGGTTTCTGTGTTTATGCGGATATTTCACTTGCTTTAAAGATATTATTCGGTATGAGGCTGATAGAAAAGGCCATGATTATTGATTTGGACGCTCACCAGGTAAGGTTAGATTTTAAACTGTTCGGTTAGTTGAAAGAGAACTTCAATTTTCGTACCACATGTGGCTTGTTTCGAGAAAGCAGTCGGCACAAACAGTCTGTTTTCTACAAATTACCACTAAGGGGATACTGTTTTTTCTGTGTATTCAATGAGTCGAGGGCACGTGTAAGGCAATGGTCAGAGGCGCCCTGCAATACACAAGGGGTCGTTCCTCGCGCCCCAGGCACGCCAAACCTTTCATCTCTCCGGGGTCAACGAATTGGCACCAGACCTGTCTGGGAGGATAGCAGCACTGGCTCTATACATTTGATATCACCTCTAATGATGCTTGATTCAGAGATTGACCAAAGCGAAGAGCTGTATCCTCTATTTTTTATTTTTATTGGATGAGTCACGCAGTAATTGCTTGCCTTTTATTCCATTTAAATGACACATGGTCTTTTGCTTCCTTATCTTGACTTCATGTCGACGTACATTTTACTTGAATGTTTCCATTTTTTGTTTGTTTACCTCTGGACTTTGGCATGTGCGAAAACTATACTAAGTCGTTCATTCGAATGTTGGTATTTCAAGTGCTGTATTTCTGATTGTGAACTAATTCGTCACTTTTAAGAGAGGTTCCACTAAAGAACGAAATTTTTTCTTGATAATGAAATTATACTAGGGCAACGGACACGAGCGTGACTTTGGTGATGATGAACGAGTATTTATATTAGACGTCTACAATCCACGAATTTATCCACGAGATCATCAAGCAGAGGGAGGGATTTCTCAATATGTGCACGTCGGATCAATGACTTCTGATGCTGAGTATTTGAGGTTGGTGCTTATTTTGCCAAGTTGATAGGCTATTTTTTGTAACTTCTATCAGGAAAATAAATCGATAGGAATCATCACAGATATTTAACCATTCAGGTTGATTAAACGCCATTTTTCTGCCGCATTATCACAGTTTAAATGTGATTTGGTGGTGTATAATGCGGGAACAGATAGCCTTGACAATGATCCACTTGGTTGTCTTTCTCTCAGTCAAGAGGTTCGTTTTTGGTGCCTTTTTTTGCAGTTGCACAGTTAACGCACCTTCTGTTCCTTTTTTTCTTCTTTTTTTTTCTTAGTCGTACAATTAGTTTTGTTTTTTTTTAAACCAAACGGAAAGCCTTTCCGAGATACATAATCATTTGAGCTCAGGTTGGAATAATAAAAGTTGAATAAAGCAAGTATAATGGAATCGTAAGAATCCGTAAGAAACACTCCTAAGAAGACCCTAATAATAACGTGGAGTATTCCTTGTTTCCAGTGCATTATCAGAAGGGACGAGCTGGTGTTTGATCTGTGCCGACAGAATGAAACGCCAATCGCAATGTTGACGAGCGGCGGATATCTAATGGAGAGCGCTGATGTTATCGCTTCTTCGATTCGGAATTTGCACGAGAAACAGCTGATACAGTTAAAAACGTGAATAATTTATTGTACATATGTAAAGAAGTGCAATTTTCAATTGCTATTACTATTGTTGTTACTATTATATATTTTTGGATTAATCAAAGATAATTATTCGAACCCACACATCACATTGACAACTGCAGACATGTGCTATAGTTAGCGCATATAGTGTGAGGCTATATGGATTACCGAATGTACCGAATGAAGTGGTTTACAGTCACAACAGTCATATCTTTCTTGATTCAGCGAATAAGTTCAATATTATACTAAATTATATTGCATAGATCTATTTGTTTATTTGTTTCAAATGAGCCATCATCACACCTACTGTGTGGGTCCCAGTAGCGCTTGCGTTCGATTTGTTTTCTTCGCCTTCATAATCCTCGAACATTTCGGGTGTTGCTTCGGCTGCTGCTTGAGGGTATTTTCTTACGAATGTCGTTGAATGTTGGTCAAGTCGGTCTTTCCCGCTTTCCTGGGATAACCGTCCTGACGTCTTTCCGCGTTAATTGCATAGAGTTAGCTTCTCCCAGACTAATCTGGTACCGATTTCTTAACCACAGAGGGAGGGGTGGAGGGCTTGCTGAGACACTGTGGAACGAGGTCGAACCAGTACCGAGCTCGCAATGGACGGAATCACTATTACTGCGCTACCCGCCTCATCATTATATTGCTTATATTGGGTAGATATAGACACATAGTGCTTATATAGTATGATAAGGAGGCTCTGCAGGAAACGGCACGACGAAATTGTTGAGGCATATTTAAACGTTGTGTTAATTAATCGTACTCTCACGTAAGCACGATATCATAGATCGGGTGTGGCAAATAACGCCGTCTAAAGAACTAACCATCTTTTTTCCAGATGGTTTTGTAGAGAGGCGAAGTTGATGTAACTTGTGATGGTATTCATATAATTCATGAGGGATTTATCTTATCCAACATTAGATATACACTCTTGTTTCTTAACGTCTATTGAAAGCCGAAAATAAGATTTAAATTTTGCACGAAAATGGAACACCTTGGGAATGTCGTCAGGCTACAGTTACTTTATGTGAGGAAGTGTTACAGAACAAACGAGTGGTGCGATTGGATAAATCGTGAAAGAGATGTTGTTTAGGATAGAATACTATTCTACGAAGTGGACACCATCGATGACCTCAATGATTACTGTTTTTACATTAAAGTTTTGCTGAGTACTCGTCTAGACTGCCTCGTCACCCGATCTCCTGTAGTGGTTAGTCAACGAAGTAGCACGCTGCGTTCGCGGTAGAACAGAATGGCAACCTACTATAATAGACTGAAACCCACGTTTGTATTGCCAGTAGTTGGTGTCTCTATCACAGGACACTCTTCTGAGGACTGGAGCCTGAAATCTTCAAATTTTCAGTGAATGGAGCAATTAGTATAGGTGGAAAATGGAGTTCCTTTACATGTGTTCAACTCGACAGTCGTCCTTATTTTAAAGAATAGCACGTAAATCCATGAACCGTTCCATGTAACAGATTAGCTAATTAGCGATAAAGTAACCAAAGGTCTTCGATTTTATTAGACATAGGAGAGCTATGAAATCACCTCTCTTTTGATTGGGAAGCAGAACGCGCTAGTAATTCCTCGACTTCTTCGGCACAGGCAAACCGCTTCTGAGATCATTTTTGGCTCACGCGTTTCATCAAAATTGACTCTGAAACAAAAATTTAGATAGAACGCATTTGGAGACAAATGTCTTAGTATCTAGAAGCACTAATTCCATTGATCTTTGATGGATTATGTATTTTAAAAATCGCGAATTTCACAATGTTAACTTTTCCACTTACTGCCTATTATAAGTTTTCATGGCAGGGTATTACGTGTGGAACGACCACGAGGATGCTGAGACATTTGCAGAACTTCGGACCGCAGGTGTCTACGGTGGGGAACGAACGCGCTATGACCATTTCCGGGGGCTAACACGTTCATCACCACACCATGCGGGTCCTTTGTTTCGCCTCTCTCAGCTATTTCTATCGATCAGCCCCATCACGAATACGCGAATTGATTGTAGACTTCATGGTTAACTTATGATGTCGTTACAATCGTACACTTCTAACGGCATATCATAGAGATCACTACGGCAGTCTATGGTGCTTAGAATATGGACTTAAATGTAGTACTGAATCACTTTTTTTCTGAATTCTGGTTTTGCTCTTAACGGTAGCAAATTTCGCACCGCCATTCCCACGGACACATAGCTCTCTGCATTACGGTGGTGTCGCCTTCAGCTCTCGGTGATCTAGCACAAATAGGTGGCTCGGCGACGGGCGGAGTCCATTCGTCGTCGGCTTCGATATTAACACCATCCAACGATTCACGCATCCATGCTGCTAGATCGTCCTTCTGTAGAATAGAAAGTAATCAGAGTTCCATAACGACTTCTGCCGTTGATTTTATGCTGAACGGGCTGAGGTTGTAGTGTGGCACTCTGTGTTTCTCGCAGAAATGAGTAAAACATCGTCATGTATTAGATCTGGGAAAGAGCTAGCGCATCGGCTGTTAGCCGATGGATTGATAGTACGCACAGTTATTGCTAAAATATGTTATTTTTACTGTGTTAGTCATCTCACATCAATTACTCATTGTTTTAGTAAGTTCAGATATGTGTAGCATCGATATTAACCTCAAGGTGAGTATCTTTTGTGGCATTAATGCTAAGAAAGAAGCCTTTCCGTTAGTTTCGCTTTATTATAATCTTCGTGTAGCGTAGTGGCTAGGGATGTCCTGCAACACAGACGAGGGCGTAGGTTGATATTGTGCCCTGTCTAGCCAATCCGTCAATCACCTCTACAGTGCTACCACTGCAATTCAATACATGCCGCATCCCTGGGATCAGCGGCAAAGAACTTGTACGTTATGACTTGTTTCATTTGTTCAAAACAAGTTCAGAGTCTTTGTGAACGGTTTTACAAATTGCCAAGGATTTTATGAGCTCGCTTAAAAAATTGGATGTGAGTGCGACTTGTGGAGGGTTTAGTTGGTGGTGATGGACAGACATGTCGACGATATTTAGCTTTTCGCAAGCCAGTTTGCCAAATCTTCCGTCCGACCAGGATCCGACCAAGAAGGCAGCAGTGGCATGGTCGCTAGAGATCCGAGACAAACACAAACCTTGCACCTATACGAACAACTTTCCAGCAATTATTGAAAGGTGAACTAACACTAAAGGACAATTTTAATGAAAAAAGAACAAAACTCGTTGCTATGCACTTTCTAAAGGTGCTCTGAAGAAAGAACTACAAATTAAAGAGTGCTCGATAAAAGTGAAAGAGGGTAGTTTTATATCCAAACATTCATTAAATGATCTCAGTAGTCATAAAGTATAGATATAAACTGTTTTCGGCAAAAGAAAAAACTACGAATTATGCAGTAACATAACTGTGATTGGTGTTCATTATACGGAACAGTATTTTTTGTGCCTCACTGTAGATTTTAGTAGTTGGTTGTTATACATTACAACCCCACCCCTCACCCCCAGCTACTTCGAACGTCGAACGGTCACCGTTAGTGCAGTTGAACTTAGGAGCTAAGAAGGTCACGTCGAGAAAAGAGGATAGCCTTTGGTCTTGGTAACAATTTCGTTTTCTGCTGCTTTTTCATTTGTCTTTTTTTTCAACGCATTCACTAAGGCCATATAAATCTTATGTGCAGAAAAGAATCTATAGAAACTATCTATATCTAAAAATCTATAGAAATAAATGGCTATGGCTGTAGTAATTTTGATATCTATGGAATAATGCGTTGAGCAAGAGATGTCTATAAGATTAGATATGACAAATGCTGTTACGAACTAATGAGGTACTGCATGGATTTGACATGGCACTGGAAATTCTACTAGTCATGGAAAAATTCAGATACATATATACATATATATATATATAAATATAAATAAATAAATAAATATATACATAAATATATATACAAATATATTATGTTTGTTATGTTTGTTATTATTATGTTGTGTTAATAATGTTAATGTTATTATTATGTCTGTTATGTTATTTGTTATGTTATTATTATAATATATATGTTTTAAATATATATACATATATATATGTATATATATTTAAAACAATAGGATGCGAGTCACCTCTGAGATTTGTTGATGTTGCTGTTGTTGTGGTGATTATAACGGAGAGAATGAGAACGAGATGTGACAAGGAACGACAAGCACGGGGCTGGGGGAACAGAGGTCATACCGAAGGAACGTTTAGAATCAATAAAGGGATCCCCACCTAGAGGTTCATCGGTTGTCATCGGGCTCACATTTACTTTTCCTTGCTCTCCATTCTCATTCGTTTGTGTGAAAAAATCTGTTCTTTTTCTCAACCAGTTTCAAAAGGATTCGTAATGTTCGCCATCAAACGAGTAACTGTCTAGCAATTTTATGAATCTACGAGGTTACGAAACCATGTCTTACTTGAAACCACTTTGTATAAACTGTTGAGGGAGGTTGCCTTGTGTGAAAAAGTTGATGGAAGCACTCTCAACTTTTGACAAACAACAGAATGAGCATACCGTCAATTGTGAGGACACTGACAGATTAGAGAACTTTTAGGAGCAACTTCTAGAATAGCATCTTATTCGAAAAAGCATAACGTTACCAATGTGGGCGGTTCAACACAATGTCGATGAGGTCTGTGTAAATGTCGTCGCCGATGATTTCTGGCTGTAGTGAAATGTTGATAGAATAGAAGAATACCCAGAAAACTTAGAAATCGCATTTCTCGGTGATGGAGTAATACGAGGTGGGTGGGTAAGTGTCTGATTTGACCTAGTGCCCTCCTATTGGAATGTAACGTCCGATCGGGAACACCATACCGAAATTGTCAACTCCACTTGCCCTAGAAGTTGAAATCGTTAAGTTTTTATACAGGAAAATTGAAACAGTTCTATCTTGTTACTTGATTTTCTTCCACTAGTTCTCAAATGAGCGTCCGAAAAAAATTCGACCATGACCGATAAGAGGTGATTGAGAAGCTACGAAGCGGAACGTGACCAAACATCAGATTAACAAAAATATTTTTCATCATCTCTTTCATAATGAAACCTCTGATAAAACTAACCATGGACGGAAAATGGAGAGAAATCTCTAATATTTGAACAAAAGGAAAGGCACTGTAAGTCCTTATCGTCTCATTCAAGGTCTCAGTTTACCTATTAGTTTAATTATTTCAGAACGAAGTTGCTAATTAGAAACAGAGAGCAGTTAAAATTTTATCAAGGACTTCTGCTTGAATTTGGAGACCAAGGATTTTGAAACGGGCGACGCTCTCCATGTAAAATCTGTGGAAAAATGACTATGAAAAGTTGAACAGGAACTGATAGATTTCAATCATTGAGCTATTTTCCTTCCCTTCTCCATTTTTCTTGAAATTCTGGGTAACGAACGATACCTTGAATTTTTAGAATGTCTAAAGAAAACAATGCTCTGCACATGGTTTAATTATTTTCATGTTCTCTTCTGGATTTCAATGGGCTTTTTTCCACGACAGCACGATCTTATGTGTCTTGTAATTCGTGATAAACTGGCAGCACATAGAACTTCCATCGTGATCGTGGCATTATGAAAGGCCTTTGCCATAGTCGTATCACATCGACGAATGGGCAATTTCTTCCGACCGAAAACCTGACGGTAAAGAAAAAATCTTGTAAATCACATAGTCATCAGTTCCCTTTCCATACTAACTTAATTTCACTAATAGGACCGATATGATATTAACACCGACCACTTGATGTTTTTTTTTTTCAAAATATCAACTATGAAAATTGCATGATTAACAGCAAAAATAGAAGTTCACCTTCAGTCTTTGTTACAATAATACTGAAGTCCTATAATCTTAACTCTTTTATTCACTGCCTTTTTCTTCTTAATGGCAGGTTATGTTTCGAATTATAACTGGTATGAAATGCTGAGATATTTGTAAAACACCGGACCACAGGTCTATGCAGTGGAGAACGAACACGCGCTGTTGTCCTTACCGGGGAGCAGCGCACTTCACCACTGCACCATCCGGGTCCTTCGCTTTGCATGTATCTCAGCTAGTTCTATCGATCTTTTGAAGTCTGATTATAGGACTGAAGTCCTATAATTCCGCTTAAAGATATCTCGGCATTTTGTTTTCTTTTTTATTACAAAAAAGGAGGACTCAGCGCTAATTTAGCGCACTATTTACTAGCATAAGTTAAAGCACTTAAAGATTGTAAGAGGTTTGCACTACTGCAAAAAAGCTACCGTATCCAAGCTTGAAACTGGAAAAAAAGACATAAAAATAAACAGCAAGTTTTGGTCTTAGAGTTCTAAAAATCTGAAGTCAAAATCGAATACATGTAATGAGAACGAATAAAATAGGTGGTTGTAACAATCTGAAGAGAACAAACCCGAACTCACCATTGTAACATTAATCCGGCCTCCCGTGACGACGATTGTTCAACGTCATTTCGAAGTCGAACCGTGACCTCAACCAATGATTGTTGGATATAGAATCATGGAAACTTGGAAAAAAATAACTATTAGCGAATAAATCGGAAAGAGTGTGAAGAACCGACGGTTGCATTACGTTGCGGCGGAATGATAACCTTTTGTGGATAGACAGTATATGTTCGAGGTGCTGAGACCAGAATCCTGAGATGAGATAGAGTTCTACATGTAGTAATAACAAATTTCATAGAGAAACGAAAAGCTGTGCAGCAATGCAGAATTTCCACGTCCATTATATTTTGCGGCGCAGTTACTAGCTTTGAAAGAACGTTGCCGAAAACTCGACATTCCTGGTGTCCTAATCTACTAAATTAAGTTAAGCCATGTCTATGCCCTAATAAAAGACTTAAAGGACATGGTATTTAAGAGAAATCTTGGACGCTTTCTAGACCAGCTTACATTTAGCACATGATTTGTATGTTTGTGGAGACCTCACTAGAGAAACATGTACTTGACGTTGTCCATTATTCGAGCTCTTTCCTTTACCTTAATGTGATCCAGTCGCTCGCACATAAGTTCTCCAATGAAAGCACACCTTCACCAAGGTTATCAAGAACAAACGGCTGCAAAACACGCAAAAATACAAGGGTGGCAGTGGGCTACAATCAATTTTATGGATTAATGCGCTCTCACCCTTGGCGTGACTCGGAGAGCATCCGCAGTTTCCACTACGGTTTCAGATTTGGCAGTATAAAGTTGTTCGCTGAAATTTCTGGAATATAGTGCTATTAGTGTTTTTGTTAAAATTGATATACCACGGGAAAATTTACTTCCATGCCAAAACATACTCATATTATGCGATTTAAAAACCGTTTAAATATTGTCATTGTAAAACATCTAGTAAAAGGATAAAAAATAAAGCTCTCGCCGCTGACCTATCCCTGTTAGTACGGTAGTCGACTTCATTAAACATCATTGAAGGTGATTGAATTCATATCCAGCCTTTACAGTAACTCGCGGTGGCTTACCATGTATTCAGCTAGTGCTGCTATCCTCCCAAACAAGTCTGGTACTATATGGCCGACTCCAGAAGGATGGAAGGCTTAGTGGGCCTTGGCGCGTGATCGATCCCATGTGTATTGCAGTGCGCCTCTGACCACTGTGCTACACGGGCCCCTCGCCCCGCCAATATCTAATAGCAGTGAAATATCTACAACTAACAATTCAGTAGCAGCTATCCTATGTTTACTTCATTTATTTCCATTGTTACATTGCTATTGTTTCGCTGGAAAAATCTACTGTAAACTTGAATTCTCTCGTACCTTAATAATTCCTAGTGAAATTCTAGGAAAACATTTAATGGCTGCACTTATCTGTTTTTTTCAAATGTTTCCACTTAATCATCTATCTATTTCTTTGTTTTTTTTTTTACTATTTTTAAGGTTCACTGGTATTTCATCTGAAGCGGATAATCGAGAGATATCAGAAAGAAAGAACCAACTTCATCCATTCAACAAGTGGTTCCTACTTGGAAAAGTTGCAAAGGTGAAAGAACTCGACAAATACATGTCACGCGGACTGAACAAAGGCATCGTTGTTATCATATCTGATTTGCAGATTTCCTTTTATGCAAAAATAACCAAGTTTTTCAAATACTCTGTGAGGAGGAATGAAACGTGGATGCTGTACGACAGCCGGTGAACTGCAATGGGACTCATCTGGTGCTCTGAAACTTTTGGAAAAGCGAATTTCAAATAAAAGAAGAGTAAGGTGATTGTTTCAGTGTCTGCCGGTGGATTAACCTACTAAAACTTCTTGAATCTTGAGGAATGTCACAGAAAACTATGTTTCGGAAATAAAACTGCAGAAGTTGAAAGAATGGGGTTACGACAACTAGGGCTACCTAACCTAGCGTACTCATTTCACCTCACCAATCGACTGAAACCATTTCGATAACTACTTCCCTTCGAAAACGAAGCCTCTGATGAAAACACCTTTTAGAAATTCGTCGCTTTTAGAATCAAAAAATTATAGCTAGTACCATGGTGGAAAGTTTGATTAAAAGTTACTAACCTATCAATATTTCATTCCAAATCTACTGCTCAAAGTCGGGCTCTATCTGCATCATTCCATTCGAAACCGAATCGAAGGAAAAAGGACAAGGGAATATACGTTCGTCGCTGATCAAACCCTGAGGGATGTGGCATGCATTCGACTTCATTAGGCATCGTTAGAGGTGATTGAATGCATATCTTGCCTTTACAATGACTTGCGGTTGTATCAAGTCAGTGCTGTTATCCTCCAAGACAGGTCTTGAACCAAATTGCCAATCCTTAGGGATGGAAGGCCTAGTAAACCCAGGGCGTGGAATCGAACCCATGTATATTGCAGGGCACCTATAAACCACCGCCCTACGAACATCCAAACCAAATTTGAACAAAAGGACTATGCAAAAAACCACACTTGTTGCTTTAGAGTAATGGAAAGCAAGAATTAAGTAAGCACTTTTATCTGACCTTTCACTGTTATCATTTAGCATAGGCTTTTCCGCAAGTGTGGCGGTCCAAACAGGAGTGTCATTGTTTCGACCGATAAAAAATGGCGCTATTTCCTGTACGAGCGCTGTGATTGAGTACACAACATACAGTAGGATGCAAAACTGAAAACCGAGATAATTTTGATGATCCTGGAAATGAGAGCATAATCCGCTGAGCGAATTCGAATATAACTCATCATATAGTGCTGATAAGTATTCATTATTTACAACGATGCTTCCATAGTACCACAAAAAATTCATAGATTTTGATCCCAGAACTTAAAAAATATACCATACCGCGATACGAAGCAAGTTCCTGCCAAGTTTGCAATAAGTCGTCCTCATTTCACGTCGATAAAGCTGTGGTAAACAGAATTGGTATTCTGACCAGGTGTATAACAGAAGTGGTTGAATAAACATGCAAACAACCCGCGTGTTTCAAACTACCTATTCCACTCAAATTGTGAAGTTACGTGGACTGACAGTATTTCCCATACATTTCTGTTGTTTTACACTATTTACAATATTGGCAGGGAGTGGTAAGCGCAGGGATTACGAACGCGGTCCAATAGACGCGCCGTTACTGGTTTGGAATCGAAATAGTTCACCGAAGCTTCTATCCCTTTAAAGACATTAAACTGTATGATACTTGTCGAGAAAAAGATTCTTTCGATTCAAGAAGGCTGGTGAGTGTTTATTGTGCATATGAGGAAACGTCCTAGCCCAGATCTTTCAGAATATCGGGAAGCATCAGCTTCAGCGACATTCGTGAAGAAGAGGAAATCACTAAGTGGCATTTGAAGCTGAACTCACGGGAAAATATTAGACCGTTGTGGGTGACGTATATGAGACAACGAATCAAATGAGAGGTTCCATACAATAGGTGAAGTCGGGTGAAATAAAAGCAAAGATTGGAATAGAAAAGCATTATTGTTTCACAAGTAGGCCATGAGAAGTCATAAGCACTTTTTAATAAATGTAAAAATTGTATTCCACGAAATATATGGCAATTAGTTTTCTTTAGTGAATGGAACTCACTTCAACACTTGGGAAAAGAAACATTGTGACCGGAATGACGGAAAGAAATGTGGCGCTCATAGAAACAAATGTATGAGCGGTACGACACGCAGAAGAACGCATCGACTGAAAAAGAGCATTCTCATCGAATTGAATAGGAAAAGTTTTGCACTAGGGCAACTCGGGAGTAAACTCCGAAGATTTTGCTCATCATTAAATCCTCAAATTGGAAATCAACGTAAAATATTTGAACAAAGTGTGTCAAAAAGTTGAATGGTCGATTCTCTCCAGAATTGATTTCCTAGGAATTCTACAGTCGTTTTGTCACATGTGCCTATTGCGTTGATGACGAACATATGCGAGAAAGGTGTTCTACACCATCTAAAGCTCTCAAGATCCCCTGCCATAAAAATTGAAACTGCTGAGGAATCACACACTTTCCGTAGTTCACCTGAGTTTTTGAATTTATTCACTTACTTTACTCTAATAGAAAGTATACTCTCACCATGTACCACAATCGATTAAGGTCAAGTAATCCAAGAAGCACAGGATAAATACAGAAGTAGAGTCCGACCGTATACGAGTTCAGCAACTGAAAACTTTAGGTGACCTCATTTAAAAGAATACCATAGAAAAATCACCTTCCTTCTATCCCTCCACAAATTCATGGAAAAAAACCCCTGTTAGAGGTTTCTACTCTACGAAAGGAACATTTTATAGAAAAAAATAGTGTTTTCAAAATAAATTACCTGTGGAATGAAGAGGTAGTTCTCTTCAAACACTCCTTCATCGTGATCATGACATTCTGGTAAAACAGGATACCAAACACTCATAAGCAATAGCATAATAATGACTACCTGCAGAAGTACAGAACTCTTCAGCTGTTACTCATGGAATTATTCAACTAACTTAAAGGATGAAGGATCAAACTTTCGGCGTTGATCAATCTCTGAAGGATACGCCACCCTTCTAAACACAAATTACCAGCGACAACGACGATGAGATATGAGGGCAGCTCTTTCCAAAGGCTCGCGTGCCGTCCACCCCACCAACCGATGCCCTTGCCTACCCTTTCTCTCGTGTATGTGGGTGTACTACGTGCTTGTCGGTGAGCGTGCATGTATACGTATGTGTCTGTGTGTATATATACGTGTATGTGTAAGTTTATGTGTACGCGTATGTGTATGTCTATATGTGTGTATGTGTATGTCTATATGTGTATGTGTATGTGTGTATGCGTATGTGTACGTGTGTGAATGTGTATGTGTATGTAACAATAACAAATAAACACAAAGTATACAAGAAAACACATCGCTAAAGACTGCACACAGCCATAATTGCCATATAAGTGTAAATGATCTGATGAAGAAAGTACCTTGATAATTCCAATGTTGAGCTCGAATGAAACATGCTTATCCAAACCATTAATTGTCACCTCTGCTCCCCATTCAGCAGTGGCAAATTTTATTATGTTATTAAGGCCATAGAATACAGCTATTATGACGATAACACCAGTTATTAAAAGAACAACCTTAAAACAGAAAAATACAGAAACAAGATAGTAGGGGCTAAGGAGAAATAAAACTATGTGGTAGAACCTTGCACCACATCTGTGAACAAAAATGACTGCAGTTAAAGTTAAGAAGAAAAAAAAGTGGAAAATGTAGAAATACGGTATTGGAATCTGATGATTACGTGCTTCCGAACAACTTGAACTTGAAAGAGAGTATGGTGTTTCGAAAACTGAAAAGCCACCGAATACTCGCAAAGGTGACAAAACGGTGATGAACCAATGGATTGTTATCACCGTTCCCACAGGAGGTTTCGCTTAGTTTAAAAACGGAAAAGAAAGGAATGAAAAAGGAAGGTGAGCGTGAGAGAAAGAAAGAAAAACGGAAGAAAGAAAGAAAGAAAGAAGGATGGAAGGAAAAGAGGAAAGAAAGGAAAAGAGAGAAAGGAAAGATGGAAAGAAAAGAGAGAATGAAGGAAAAGGAAAGGAGAGAAAGAAAGAAAGGAATGAAAGAAAGGGACGAACAAACAAACAAAAGCTTTAGGTCGTTTCCTTACTTTGCTACAGCACGGTTTCCTTCTACTCTTAACGTGTATATTTCGGCTTTCTCAGATCAATACGAAACAAATTGAAAACAGGGTGCTTTACCATGTGAATTTTTCGTCAGTTCTGAACTGTCTACAACGTGGTCGCCTCTGTCTTTCACTCACCTCTTCGCTGTTCAGATTCGGTAGATGTAGAAATGGTTTCCATATAGAGTTACAGTATTGTCCGGCAGTGGAAAAGCAGCAGCAAACACGACGATCGCCTACGAAGAGTTTTTTATGGCAACAGAAAACACGAAACGAAAAAACCATTTGATGGACAAATCACAAAAGATCTACGGCTCGTTTTCATTTCCTAGGGCCAATAACCACCCTTTCCGTCTTCCTAGGAACAGCCGCCCATGCCTGAACTCATTCTAGTGTACATGAACTGATAGTGTTTGCACCACAGGTTTCTTCAAAGCGAATATTCCGTAGAGATGGTGAATAATGGGAATCATTCTATTACTATTTCCTGAACTTTGTTCTTTTTAGAGCTAAAATGATTTACAGTGATCACTTGATATCTAGTGGAAAATCTCCGAGATCAATTATTATTCAACCAATAAGATAGCTGATACTCGTTATTTGTACTTGATCATCCATAACGAAAAGTTCTTGACACGTCACAATGTTACTCACCACTTTCAATGCAGGTCGAGTTATGAATGGAGTGAAACAACGCCGTTTCACAAGCTAGCGATTCATTAGTGTTCAGCGACGAAAGACAACCAAGCCGAAAGACTTTACCCTGAAGTTTATTCAAAGATATATTGATTTCTCTTATGCTTGATTTACAGACTTTGAAGTCTTAAGGTAAGGAGGCGAGTTTAGCCTACTGACTAGGGTGCCTTGGTATTTATAAGTGATTGTTGGCTCAATTCGCAAACTGGCTAACCAAGCCATCATCCATGCTTCTACAATCGGCAAATTAGTAGTAAATTTGTTCCGTAGGATCAAAATTCTGTCCCTATACAAAAATAGACGTCGGTAAGTCACTGTATAAGTTTCGTTCACATTCATTCACTCTATAGTGCTACGAATGGGGTCCAATCCACGATTCTTCCTAGGAGATTGGCCAGCGTCAAACATTTTATCGCTTTTCAAATACTTGAAGTGGATCGTATTTGTACATTCTATCGTTCGTTTTCATCTGACACTCATAGTTGTAAGGCGTTCTCTTATAACCCAAACGACGATAGCCCTAAAACTAATACCCAGGATCCACCACTGTCGTGTTATCAAACTAGTCGCATGGTGGCAAACCTCCCTCTGATTCACAAGGGCGGCGACTGCCTGTAGTGGTGACGACGTGGGATAGACTTCGGCCAGGCTAATTTTTGAATTCCTGGGAACCACAATGGATAAACCAGCAAAACTGCTACAAAAAGGAAATTATGCTGCGGCCCGCACTACCAATGATGACGAGAAATCCAAGTATCCAAGTAGATGAGTAATGATAGCGGTGCTTCTCGTAAGTAACGGAGATCAAGAATGGATAAAAAAGTCTTTGACGACGTCGTCATTTGTTTATAAACTTGTAGTGAAATTAGTCAGTATGGGAAACTCGTACAGGCTGTATGAGATGATGAACAATGCACATTGTTGAAATCGAGTTCAACTTTCAGTTGAATTACCTTCATCAACAACAACAGCGCTTGCTTTGAAAATGACAATGGAGTCGCTTAACAATGGTAGACTTACCTCGATGTGCTTAATAGTAATAGAATAGCACAGATCATCCATACAGAGTGGAGGGAATGTGCTTACACAATTACCAGTGGCATTGCCTACGTGAAAACTGGCCGCGGTTGTTGTTCTACAATATCTCAAGTTCCATCTCAATCTCAAAATCTTTCCTTTATTAATGAAGGTTACAATGAAATTAAAAAAAACGATAACCACACCATTCATTCAGAGAATACAGAGAGACCGAGAATAAGCACTATTTATAACCCTCATGCTCTTGATGGCTGTTATAAAAGAGATTCCAATGTATAAACCTCGGTTCACTTTCAGGATAACGTTTTGAACTAATTTGAATATCGTATTTACAAATTCGTCTAATCACATAGTCGTCGATAAGTCGATAGATTAATTGCACAATTTTCCATCTCTTGGTGAAATCCTAAATACAAGGCAGCAAACCTCATCTACGTTTCGTGACAGGAAACGCATGCCTATGATGCAAACCTGGAAAGTCTTAGCACTTCTATGTCACGATTCCATGAAACCTCACCAAGATCGACCAACACTTAAAATATCAATGAAGACAGCTGGTACTCAAGTTGAAGAGGAGCCCTCACACGAACTCGACCAGCACTACTGACGGCGGTCACAAGGGAAAGACGAGCCAGACAAATGGTTGAAATGATGGGCGTCGCTGCATCGTTCAAACATGAGCTATTTAAGAGATATAAACAAGTTCTCATAATCATTCTACTATGTTTTAGTGCTGTCAATTTTCAAGGCCTCCGTTTATCGAAATATTACCGTTTATTCTTGAAAACAGCAAGTCCGCAGAAACATGGAATTTACTTCGTCTCATTTTCACGCTACATAAAGTAAGGTGGTGACTCCAATGAGTTAAGAGATTGATCAACACTGAATGATTTCTCCTGTTCTGCCTCTTAACCAGATTTCCTTCTAGACGGATGATCTTTTTAAGTAATGTCGTATGTCGGTGTTGTATGTCGGTGTTGGGACTCACGGTCTCATTTCTGACTAAAATGAAAACGAAGCCTATGTGCAACAACTTGGTGGAAGAAATTTGTTTAAAAAGTGTACCCAAACAATGCAACACATTGTCGCATGTGTTCGGATTTCTTCTGATGTTACTAGAATCGAAAATGCTCCAGCAGTTGCGTAAAGTTGAAAAGAAAACCGTTGTTGCAAAAGAAAAGTAACGTCATAGCTTTTAAGGACTTTTTCCTACCCAAAGACAGATGATGAATAGATAAGAAGCAAGATTATACGGTATATCCATGGCATGCTATACGGGATTGTAAAGAAGTAAGAAATGAGACTCATTCATGACCGACTACAATCGATGTGATTATGTTAATATTGCAAGTAAGTTTGATCCATTTTCACCTTCAAAATGGTGTATATCAATATATAGTGGTTATTTGGAAAGAAGTTGATAGACTTTAGGAGATTCTTGATCATGCACACTTCGTTGTTCCTTTCACTAGCCCACCTCCACCATGCGTTCGGAATCCGCAAAAACTTTATGCATCGCTAGGCCCAGGCCAAATATAATAGGTCAGATATGTACTCGGCCATCTTTCCGATACTTGATGAAATCTAATAAATAATACACCTCTAAGAGACTACTTGACGTCGAACTCATTTTCCGTTCTAGTATAGTTAAATGAAAATAAATTAAATGGATTAATATTGATAACTAGTACATATTACTGAATAAAATTATAGCACCAGACACTAGACTAGGACACAAACAACTCAATAAACCTTAAGTACCCTAAGGTTGTCTAGTCCAGCAGCTCCTAAGCAAACTCGTTCTAATTTTGAATGCTAATGCGACTAGTGTCCAATTTGCTTACAACCACTTCCTACATTTTCTACTAGTTGGAGAACAGGGACGGAAATCTACATAGCAGCATTGGCTCGATACATCGGTAGGCCACCGCGAGTCATTGTAAAGGTTAGATATGCATTCAATCACCTCCAACGATAACTTGATGAAGTCGGATGCATGACTCATCCCTCAGGGAATGGTCAACCTCAGGAGCTTTACTCTTTTATCCGTTGTTTATTTCACTGTTTTACAGACAGAAAGATGCCCATTGTAGGAATGACCGTTGTGATTTCATGTGAATTTTGCGACTAATCTATCGACATTCCCGCTAAATTTGTGACAATTCTAACACAGCAAGTGATAACTAAAATTTGTCGTTGCACATTGAGAAAATCAGGTAGCGGTTATGTTTTAATATGAACAAAATCTCTGATCAAAATATCGATCCCATTTGCACGAAACTTACTCGATACTTGATATTTGAATGACCGACTCTCACTGGTTGTGCGAGTCCCAGCATAATCTCCACTTTTTGGAGATTTGCTGGTTAAGCCATTGTGGTTCCCTGAAGTCACGAGGTTAAGCTGGCCAGAATCTGCCTCAGGTCGTCACCACCACAGGCAGTCGCCGCCCTTGTGGATCAGAGGGAAATTTGCTACCGTGCGACTAGTTTTATACCAGGACGGTTGTGGGTCCCGGTATAGGTTTACTCTTAGTTGAGCTTCTTGGTGGAAACGCCGGACTTCTGCTCAACTAGGGTGGCTCTGCCGGAGGGATGCATTCTCCCACAACACATGGCAGTCCGACACCCAAGACTAGCCACGATGAGGCGGTGAACCGTTGGGAGGGCATAAAACATACTTGTTCGATAGTGGAATTGGCATTTATAAGTATCAGGATCAGCACTGCTGAAGGTATATGTGGTTGTACACAAGAGGTGAAGAGAAAATGACTTATATTCAGGAAAAAGGTTCGTTCTGAATATCGTTCTCATGTTGTCCACTTGTTAGGAAACAATAACATAAGGAAGACTGTAAGCTATATCTCACAGAAAAGATTTAATGGCAGTGTCTTGGGCTACTAAACTATGAAGATGGGTAAATGGTTTTAAAAAACTAGAAATAATACGGTTGTGTCTTCCACCAGTTTTTTGTATAGATTGCTAACAGTGACTAATCAATGTTAAGAAGTTAATGGCTGCAAAAACAAGGCAGTATCTTTATTCAAAATCGAAAATAAAACTGTTAAAACAACACGCTCAACATGAACGCTATCAAGACGATCACCTACGAAGAATAAATATCCTCAAGAGGCCTCAAAACCATTGTAATGATACGATTAGCCAATGCTAAGCACAATACAGCACAATTGGAGATGTTTCAACACCGCTAAAAATGAATTCAAAAGTGGGTAGAACAGAAATCAGGCGGCATCAAAAACCAAGTCTTTGGACGAAGACGAACTTTATGGTAACTCCCTGTTCGTCATCTCCTGGACTGTACAAAGACAAAACAAGACATTAACAAAGAAGAAAAGAACGGAAGAAAAAACAGAGGGTTTGGAGCACGAAACTTCCTGACAAGACATTTACTGGAATGAATAAGGTCTAAGTTGATAGCTGTAATTCGTATGGAAACAAAAGTTGATTGTAGAACGCATCACTACCTAAATACCAGGGTCCCTTATTTACTTCAAATCCGCGGTTATCTAAAAACCGAGCACTGCGTGTGAAAGATGGTGTCTAGTACTACGATTTCTTTTGCAATGTGAAGAACTAATGGTGGTATAATGATGAGCGCCTCAACTCCTAGGAATCTCTCTATAGCACGAGTGACACTCTTCCCAATACCACATGAACCAGAGATTTCGCATTTGGTTTCGTCGTAAATAAAGATATGGTTGAAAGTCTGGGCACATACCTAAAGCTCTTACTTGCACACAGCTTGGAATAAACAGATTATCAGTTCATATAGTAAGATGCACGTACTTATACATTTACACATTACAAAAATAAGTTCGAATGTAGAAGAATTTTGTCTGCTAAAATGAAAAAGTTGAAAACGGGTGTTAAGGTAGACAACGCTATATACTCAGCACCACGAATAGTAAAACTATATACATAAACCGTAAACCCAATCATCCCCGTATTTTTTTTGTGGATTTTCAGATTTTTAAAAACAACACAGATACATGTGGACAGATAACGGTAATAAACAAAACAAACATATGACGATATCTGACGAACGCGTCAAACGAAGGTTTCATGACACAGGATAAAACATGAATTCTGGATTTTGAGATGCTATGGAAGATAGATGAAATTATAAATACATGGCAGGTGAGAGCACTTATATACAAAATAACTTCAGCCATACTAGAAGCGGAAAACAAACTGATGAGTTGATGGATCAATCCTCGAACACGTCGTTTCAACTTCGTGATGGACAAAGAACTAATTCACTACGAAGGAAAAATAACGACCTGCTAAGGACTCACACATGTATATTCGAACAGTACGAAAATAACGCTAAACCATACTGAACCCGCTAAAAAATCTCGTTACCAAAAGGCTTCAACGTCCCAAAGTATATACACAGCTCACACTAATGTACAGAATAAATACAACGTGAAAAATGAATGAGCAACCTCATCCAGGAATAAATGGACGAGGGAAAATGAAGCTTTGCAACAAAACTATACAAACGGTGTCATGTCCAAAGCACACCGATAAAAGGATTACGGTTGGCGTTTTCTATATAAAAGAATTCAATCAGCAAAATCTGAAGGAGAAGACGATATGAAAGATGTAAAGGAAATCTTTAAAAACCGAAGGAACCAATTGTAGGTGAACTTGATGCTTATTTACTTCCTTCTGAAGAGTCATGATCTTTTTTCCGATGACCTTCAGAATTAATCACATTTCCTTCATTCGTGGAAACTGACGATTCCTTACTATCATCTCTACAATCATTTTCGTCGCCATCAACAAAACCACTATCTTCACGTTGTGTACGATGACCTGGCTTTCCTGGAGAGGTAAACGAAATCACTCTATAATCCTTGTCGAAAAAAAAAACGAAAAAAAAACTAAAATTGGGGATACAATTAGTCCGTCGGCCCAAAAATTGAAGTAATAGTACCTTGCACGTCAAACCCAGGACCATCTGAACTCTCTTCAAGAGCGGAATTCTAAAAAGGCTTCTTGCTCAACAAGAATACGAAATAGATTTGTATCCAAATATGCAAAACGAAGTTAAATTTTTAGGTTCATCGGCAAAACAGAACACCTTATACTCACATCATCACTGGCCCCACTAAGACTACGCCGCCTTTCCTCCTTCCTCTTTTTACAAGCCCTTTTTCTCTCGTTTTTTTTAGCTGCGGCAAGAATGCACTGCCCACTTCGGAAACGACGCTCCTGTACTTTCTCGCTGAAGGAAACACGCTTCTCTCGTTGTCTAACGTTTGGACTCTCTGAAAAGTACCGGTTAAAATTTGGGCAGATGATTCAACAGAGGGAAAAGATTTACCATGATCAGTGTGATTGCCACCTCCATCGACTTCTGTAGTCGATTCTACTAAAAGCGACAGATGTGGAAATTCTGTGTGGCAATTCTGAGACTCCGAAATTGATCTGCAACAACGATGTGCCGCTTGAGCACTATTTCAATGGGAAGAAAAATCAACCAACCTCGATAACCTATCAACACGATAAGGCTTTTTCAGAATGCTTTTCAGCACGAACCCGTTACAACCAACGCTTTCGCTTGCAGAACGCTGCCGCATTCTTAAACAGCTTTGCTCTGAAAAATTTACACTCAGAGCTTTCACTCAGACACTAACTAAATCGAGCAAAACGATTCATTGCATTCATGAACGATAACGATATAGCGCTCGTCGACGTTGACCAATTCGTAAGGGATCTGCTGTGTGTGACCTCACCAAGCATCCTTGGGACCAAACCGCCCACTCCGGATGGATGGAAGTCTTCTTGAATCTGGGCGCGGGATCGAACCATCGACCACGTGCGTATTATTGCAGGGCACCTCCAACCTGCTCGGTATACTTGCTTTTTCAGAATAATCGAAGCACTCAGATACCAAGAGTATTCTTTAAAAAGTGATCTCGATAGATTATAATATGGCAACGTCGTTTTTAAATGTTCGTATGAATAATTTCATACCAGAAACGACTAGGAAACAAGAAGAAACCAAACCGCATCTCACTAAAATATTCCTCCCCATTCTTTGTATAAATTAGGAAGTTTTAAAACAAACTCACCATATGCATTGTTAAATGCATACGTAGTGGTCTTTCAACTGCGTTATCCCCAAATTTTTAGTTTAAATCTAGCTAACGAGCCTTTGGCCTATCTCAAAAGCTACACGGCGTAACTCCAATGCTATGGACAACTCGCTCAGTTTCACTGCTATTTGCCCACGTATCAAATACAAAACACTATGACACAGAGGCTTTTGGAAATTAATGCAGATGGCGTTGGATTTTTTGAATTCAACCTAATCCGTCTTTTAGTACGAAGACCATCTCATATGAATGCACGTCGAAATTTTCAAACGACCACAAGAAAAGTTGTCTACGGAGGAAACAATACAAAATGCAACCATAAGGTTCTGATAGAGAAGAAATGAGATGTTGAGGTTATTGCAATTCCTTTAACAGTAAATAGTAGCACATGCACTTCGCGACTAAGATGCTTCACTGTTCTTCTTGATGAGCCAAGACTAGGTTGTTATTTTACTCTTTGTTCACAAAAACCTGACATTTCGGTGGATTTCATCTTCTGCGGAGCATAGGAAAGTCATGTTAACTGCGACCCACTCAAGAAAATATCTTCATAATCAAACGAGAAAATAAAACAAACCCAAGGTTCCAATCGAAAACCGAAATTACAATCGCACTGAAAACTACAAAATAATTTCTTCGCACACTCACCGTTTCCTTTGAGTCCTCTGCTGGGTATTTCACGTGGAGAGCAACCGCACGGAGCTCACGTAGAAGGGTAATGCACCTCTATGACATTGAAATGTCGGTCTTAAATACTCTGTGAGACCACTCATGATCACGAGGTATTCCTCTCTGCGGTTAATTTTCTGATATGTTACGGTTACACTGATATTTTAATGTGAGAGGCACATTACGCTTCTATGTGAACTCTGTGCGGTTGGTCATCACGTAAAATACACAGTAGAAAACACAGAAAGCGGTAAACGTGCAAAAAAGTTACTTTTTTTTAGTGCGATTGAAATCTTAGTTTAGCACTTCCTCTGTTTGGTTACGGAGGTGTTCGGTTAGCTGTCAATTTGACCTTTCCAGTCACTGAAGACGAAATCCGCCGAAATAACAGCTTTTGACAACGTAAATCTTAAACAATGCGTGAGAAAACACGTGATTATGAGGCAATCCTTCCTGCGCTTCGTTTTCGGATTCTTGGAAGAATGTGTCCAGAGCTTTACGCATTAAAGTTTTCGGTTCCTGTACGGGGACGGTGAGTCCTACTTCGAAACCTTCTCCGTTATGTCTCTGTATCCAATGTGCGTGCAGTAGACTTTTTGGTTTCACTTCAAATTTACCGACTAGGTATTCTTTTAAGCGGACGCATAGTGGTCTACACATCTCGGCAATGTAGTCGTTTCCTCACGCTTTACAAGCGATTGGATACACCGGATCCGAACTCACGCAATCATCGTCTCTAGCGTTTGGGCAACTTATGCAATTTTGCGTTGTAAATAGACGGTCACACAAGCGGTTATGAACTAACTGACGCCTTATAGTAGTCGGTGGCACTTCAGTTACTGTTACCAAATTCCCGAGATCGGCCCTTTTTTACCACTTCATAGCTGCCTTATTTCATTGGAAATAAAAGGCAGGATAAATGGGAGCTTATTCTTCCTAATAAACACTGTGTAGGAGTGCAGCATTTCGTTTACGGCTGTCTCGATGAGCTACGGCTTCGTAGCCATTGTAAATGGCTAGTTCCCATGTCAATTTCAAGTACTCTTCCCTGTGTTCTCTTTCTGCATACACTGTGATGACTGTGTAGAACATGTTTCTTAGGAGCGCACCTTTTCTAATGAGAGTTGTTATGTTTCACTTCATAGTCATTCCGCTACGGTTCTAAATGCCTTCTAAGTCGCTCGGCACAATCGTAGATCTTCATAACGGAGGCTTAATCAGGTGTTTAAGTGCAAGATTTCGCGTCTTCCTTTTTTTCCAAATGAGTGCGGCACTTGTTAGACATTCATGAGCTTAACGTTTTCTCCCAAAATTACATTGCCTTCAACTTGTACGATAAATACCGTGGTTTTTTTTAATAACTGAAGTACTTGAGAACATGAGTACTTTGCAGATTTATAGTAGTGACCCAGTCTTATCGCCCAGCAGTGTACATAACCTCAACAAAGTGTTCTTCTCCGATTAAATATGCTTGGACATTAAATCTTGAGTGAAAAAGAAATCCAACTCTCTACAACTAATGGTGCAAGTCCAGTATATGCAATCATCAGATGCACACTCGCAGATACTAACGAGTTCCGTGGACGTCAAATCGCTTCGCGTTTCGAAATACTAGCGCCCACGAAGAAAAATGAATGGATGACTTACATGCTTTCAATTTTTATAAAACAAAAAAGGTACCATGCCGGCGATAGCCTTTAGATTATAACACATCTTCCATTCAACTAACAGAATTTACTATGGTACGAAATATACTTGCTCAAGGCTGAAAAGCAAAATTATTTTCAGTGACGTATAGATCAGCTTTTCCACCGACCTCTTACCATACTCACAGAAAAAGGGGTTCGACAAGGCGATGCAATAGCGACAAAGATGTTTAGTGTCGCACTGCAGTGGATAATGAAGTCACTCGTTTGGAATGAGAAAAGCATGCGTATTGATGGAATACTCCTATCAAACCTTCGCTTTGCCGTCGACATTGTCATCTCCTCTAGAAGTACTATCGAAGCAGAGACGATGACCAATGAGCTCAATGAAGCGGAAAGAATGAAGATTGGAAGAAGATCCAGTTCATGAAAAACATATGATGAGAACGCAAAAAAATTGAATTGGATGGCTCCCTGATTGCAGAGACTACCTCGTACGTATATATTGGCTTAATCAATGAATGTGGGAAACAACATAAAGGAGGAATTAGACAGAAGAAGGAGAGCAGATTGGCCACATTTGGCCCTCGCAAAGAAGCCTGCAACCAGCTGAAAGACTCAAAAATCCACGCTCACCTTTTCGATTCGACGGTCCTCTTAGCGCTCTCTTATGCTAGAACCGTGAGCTGATACTTCAACCAAGTGAAGAATACTCTGCACTACTCACATAATGCTTTAAGAGTGCTTCGCTCTGACCTTCGAAATCTGTCACATCTTCGAGATCCAGGAGAATACACATCGATAGCGAAACATAGATGGGCCGGTCACATAATGAGAAGAATGGACGACAAATGAACGAAAGGAACTGTAAAGTGGACTCCACGAGAATTCTGGCGTTCCCTAGGACGGCAACCTACACGTTGGACGGACGTGTTCGTAACCAAAGTTGTACATGGCTGTACTCGCATCTGTGTTTGTTTTACAGATCATGGTATAGGATTCGTACGAGCCACCATGCTCGAATGAAACCATCATCATGGACGACGAATGCAAGGGAAAGCAACAAATGGCAAGTGTGCTGTGGTCCGCACAACTCGTGAAGACGGACTGTCAAAGTATCCAATTCAGTATCCAATGTATGGGTCAAATAAGAGTTATGTCGCTGACAGTGTATTAAGACTTTCAGGTGCATGGTCGTTCATTTAATAGAGATTTTTCAATGAAACTGTCCAGCTCTTCATAATGAAAAACAAACTGCAGTCTGTACTGCATCGTATCAGTTTTACATTAACTCAAATTATGATAAAATCAAGTAAATAAAATAACGATCTTGATATCTACAAAGCCTATTCTTGGCACATCACTGTATCGTTAACACCACAAGCACAGTAGTTTCAAAGATTACTGCTATAAGTAATAAGGTAACCACCTCAATTCTCCACAGTCTACTATTATGACTAACAAGCACCACTTTGTTTTGGGATAAATCTAACCTTGCTTAATATGTAAGTAAATGATCAGAAAATTCTTAGAGGAGACTACAACATTCTATTAAAGATGAAAGTTTAGTCCAAAAGACGTTAACTATACCTGAATAAGGGTAGAATGGAGCCTGCTGATTGTCGCTAGTATACGGTGAAGATGGAGGTGAGAGAACAATTCCTGAGTCCGTAGAATCCGCAGGGCTTGCAGGAACATCCGTAATACCGTCACCGCCACAAATCACGTTCAAAGGCGATGCAGCCAGAAGGCGATCAAAACGCGAACGCGCTCCCGGCTGTAAGGAACAAGATGGAGTAACCACCTAGAATATCCGGCTGTAACCATGAAACTACAACCTTTTTTTTCAGCGCTGCAATGAGAAGAACAACTGCGCCTCTAATAGAGAAGAGTGTGGCCTACATAAAAAGTTGAAGAGTCGTTCAAAATTTTATCTTTTCTTAATCCATTGGGAGGCTCTTATCTCTAGTATCATCTAAGACAGGTTTGGCAACAATTTGCCTATTCCGAAGGGATGGAACAGCCTGCAGCTCGGGATCGATCCCATGTATATTGCAAGGCATTTCTAACCACTGCGCTACATGCGCCCCTTAATGAAAAGTCACCTACTATTAATATAAAAGTGATGTCGTTTCTCTGTGCTGAATACGACTTACAATGTTGATTTCGATGAATGTCTCGGTGCTGTTCTGTCGCACTATGTGAAGAGCTCGATGTCTACCATATTGAGACGACGCCGAGCGTTGAAAAGCCGTCAGCGATTCATCCAGACGACGACGAAGTTCTTCGACACGCAGCTGACAAGCTTCCATCATCTGCAAGCAAACAGCCATTAAAAATCACGACTTTTTGCCATAGATAGCGATGATTCAACAGCGAAAAAAAAACGACAGCTGCAAATATGTCGATGATGAAATTGCCCACATAGCACACGGTCTGTCAGACTTTCCACTCTGATAAAATTGAATAGCGAAGCGTACAAAGTGTTTGTTCTTTTCAATAAGTCTAGTGGAGGATGTTGATCGGTATTGTATTTCAAAACAACGCAACCATAAAAATTACCAATTTTGCAGAGGTGTTGTGGAGGACCTGTATGACTGGAGGTAAGTACAGGTTCAAAGATTAACGACTACTAAAGCCTGTGTCAGTGCGTGCTATAGCTATTGACTTATTTGTAAGAACATGGAGGGCGCGTGCATCGCAGTCCCTAACATCTAAGCGATGACGTGACCTCTACATGAGTCAGTCATACAACGTGAAAATAAAGGCCGCTCTAAACCAAAATGTTTCAGCTCATAGTTTTTTATTCACTACAACAAAATTATTAGAATCTACGAATTTTCGTCTATAGGAAAAAGTTCTCCAATTTTGTTACGACGAAATCCTAACTTCCTGGAGCCCATGGCATCAAGTTCTTCCACTTCTTCAACTCTCATATTTCGAGCCCAAATGCTATCGAACAAGTAGGATTTCTTAGGGCATGAAACGATGGCCTACTCAAACCCAGTGCCAGTGCTTGTGGCTGCCGCTCAATCGTTTGAAATTTTAAAAACATAAACATCGTTATCAACTTTTTGATAGTTGTAACGATAAACATATTTAAACCTGAAAGAATGCCGCATAAAAATTCCGTAAACGATTGCGATGGGTTAAAGCATTTCACACGAATCTATGAAGTTCTCATCTTCACAGACCCCTCAAGTCACTGCATATACTCACATGTGTTCAATCTTCTCTACAAATGATTGGTCATCTCTAAATTACTCCCTGTTTTCCTAAATGGACAAACACGAGGTTGTTATTACAGTATATACCAATACACAATAACTGACATTTCGGTGGTTTCGCCTTCTTCAGAGACGCGAAGAGTCAAATTGACACGCCATCCACTCAGTCAAACGCTATCATAACCTCAACAAACAAAAGAACACATAAATGACTATTCGTATGGTGAACAGCTTCTCTTAGACACTTGTTGTTTTGCTATTCTAAAGTCTTCCAGTTAGTAGTGGAGACCAGCCGCACAGATTCCTACACGGATGAAAAATGTTTATGGCTCAGATCACAAAATAATCCTCGCACAGGATTCTAAAACTTAGAAGAATAAAGTGTTTAGTCTTAAAGTGTTTTGGCTAAACTCCAGAAATCCAAAAATGAACTGCAAGAACGAGTGCCTTGTAGTCACGTGTGATCGATCTCGCACCATACCTCAGATCGATTTTTTGATTCGAGCCGGGCACGTTTCTCACCCATGTAGGACTTTGAACGTTTGATCTTCAATATTAGTTGGAGGACTTAAGAACAATGAAACGGTGTTTATGAAAAGCTGTTCACTACGAGAATATACATATTTGTACTATGTTTCATCTGCTAAGGTTATGAAAGTGTTTGACTGAGCGGATTGCGTGCCAGTTTGTCTCTTCCAGGGTCTGAAGAAGGAAAAACGCCGAAACATAAGCTATTGTGTATTGATAAACGCTGTAATAACAACCGCATATTTGCTCATTAAGGAAAGCAATTATTGGTCGGTGCCGAGGTAAACCGAAGGTTGATCTTAGGATTTGCTACAATTCTAAATGCTTTGTTCTTTTATATGATGGTAAGAAATGAGTGAAAACGTGCACAGGACAAACGAATAATAAAACCCGAGCAAATCAGCCGATGAGATAGCTCTTGTCGGACCAATCTTTGACTGCAGTCAAGAAAAAAATGTTACTAGGACGATTCAGAAGGGACGGAAAACTATAGCGGACCTTGCCACCACAAGACTTTCACAGAGATTCAGAAAACTATTGCCTGTTTATGCTGTTTCAGTGTACCCAAAGCTTATCTGCTACATAACCACCATTTTTCGTGCAATACATTTCGTCATATTTAATATGAAACTAGTTTAGGTTAGTTGAGATGAGGCTTTTAAGGTAAAATTGTTGGTGCGCTAAAAGCTAGATATACTGAAGCTAGCCGAAGCAACTCGAAATGTCAAAAAGAGGTATCATTTTCGAACAATGGCGCGGGTGTGGCGCGGTGGTTGGCGGCGTCACTGCGACAAGCACGTGGAATCGATCCCTGCGCCTATGGCCCATCAAGCATTCCATCTCTCCGAAGTCGGCAAAATGCTACCAAACTTGTCTGGGAGGATAGCAGCACTGGCTCGATACATCGGTAGTCCACCGCGATTCATTGTAAAGGCCATTGCATATTCATGCATTCAATCACCTCCAACGATACTTAATGAAGTCGAATGCATGGCGCATCCCTCAGGTATTGATCAACGCCGAGGGCTTTATCCTTTATCCTTTTATGCAGATGCTTTCGCAAAGGTGACATGGATTCTCTTGATAATGAAATAGGTCGCCGACCCCAATCACCGCAGATCGTGACGGCCATCTGAAGGCGATAGTCGAATATGCCCTTCCATAAGCCAGCTGAGAGGTTGCAGAAAGACTCAACATTCCTATAAAAAGTTAACGAGTGCTTGCCACATAAAAGATATGGGAAATGTGAAAATGTTCGACAAAAGCGCTCCGCATAAATGAAAAAACCGTTATGAAGTCTGCTACTCGCTTTTTCTACGCAAAAAAAGGAAGCATGTATCGAATGAATTGCGAATGAGATGAAAAGTGGGTCCCGAATGGAATGGAGAGTGGGTCCCCTATTCGACTGGCAACGTTTAGTGTATTCAACGAGTGGCGATGAAGTTTCTAAGCATTTGCAACGACTATTTCCTTTTCGGTTAAGAGAATCATAACGTTAAGCGTTAACGAAATATCCACACTGTAGGACTTATATCTCGACGAGTTATTAGAAAAAACTGTAGTGTTTCTGTCCACAGATGACCAACAAAAGTGTGGAGCATTTTTCCACGAAAAGGCTCCAATATGTCTTCAACAGCTGACGTGGCTATAATAGACTTAGTTTGGCTATGTTGTATGTTAGTGAGAAAAAAATAAGTCGGTGATTGAAGTATTTGTACATGATCGTATGGCTGTGATAAGTGAATAGCAGTGGGCTGTCCACTTGCTATTACAAATCCTGTTGTCCAGCTATCGACAGCAACTTGGCACAAAGCGCACCTCGCAAAGATCGTAATCTAGTAGAATGCGATAATTCATTCCCACTTTACGATAACAATCATCAAAGCTCACGGACTATCTAATTAAAGCATTCACCTAGTAAAAGGAGTTAAAACAAATATCAGAGATAAACATTAGATTTTTTCGAACAAAGTAAATGCTCATTTTCTACCTTTAACAGAACTCTGCTGCTCTAAAAAGTAGTCTTGGTGGTTATTTACTTCCGTAAATATCCGTTCTTCATTTCGGATACAAAGCCACTAACTGTCATACATAAGACATCCACTTATCATGAACACATCAGAGATACGCCTACTGAAACAAGTGATTTGGACTTAAAATTTCCAACATAAAGGGATAAAGGATAAAACACTCGGCGTTGGTAACTATCTAAGAGATGCGACAAGGTTTTGACTTCATCAAACAACGGCAGAGATTCTGGCCTATACGATGACATGCAGTGGTCTACCGAAGTATAAAGTCAGTGGTAGAATTCTAACAGACTTGTCTAGTAGCAACTTGCCGACTCCGAAGAGAAGGAAGACAAGGCGAACTCAAGACTAGAGATAGAATCAATGGCAGAACCAATGGCCACGTGTGTATTGCTGGTAACTATAAACATTATGCTTACCAGCCCAAATTCACATCTGAACTTGAAAGAACGTAAACCGATTTAGTAGGTAGTAATCACTACGAAAAATTAGTGTCATCCTTGCTGAGTGGCTTTAATGCGAGGACTGCTAACGCTAAAGTTTGATTTATTATTTTAAAGCGTTATGTACACTAGTGGTTTTGCTTTTATGATAATTTGTGTTCAAGTTAGGCCACTGGAATAAGTAGCATAAATAAGACAATAAACTATCATCTGGACCAAGAGCTATGAAAAATACCATACCAAAGCTACATTTGTCCACAGAAAGCTCAATCGAATACACAACACCAGATTTAGAAAAACTCATGAATGAGATGGGAGCTCAGGAGCTTAGGACGGAAGAGGAAAAGCTATTCTCGTCAAGGACCACCATCCAAATATGTTAAGTGAAGCGGATCCACGAGCAGTGCCTCCACAGTCTATGGAAGAACTATATGTAAATAAAGCAGCACTTTCTAATGAAAAATTAAAAAAAACCCATGAACACTTTCAGCACCGGATGAACTGCACGAAATGCAAAGGGATTATCACTACGCAATCCCTCTGCACTTCATTTATTCCCAAAACCAGATTTACATACGACTATGAATTTTCCATGCTAATTAGATGGAATTATTTACTAAAGTTTCTTCAAAACCAATGACTGCAAATAACTGATGTCTCCGAAATGAACAAGTTTTCAACAACTTTCCACCACTGATATGAAACTCGAGCGCAGATATGAAACACTAAACATTAAGACGTTGGTACAACCTAAAACGAAACTAAAAAGTGAAAAGAAGAGGAGGAAAAGAGAAACTAAAAACTTGGACGAACACACCAAAATTAGTTCCACCAGAACTACATTCAAGAATTGACACGTTAAAAAAAGGTGCCGAAAGGAAAACAGACACCAGTCGAACGGATTCGTTCAATTAGTCTCCTTCACAGTAGAAACTCGAACCGAACAAGCTTAGAAGTCTAGGAGATTATTTGCTTAATTAAGAAAACCTGTAACCTAAAAACAAGCCAACCCGGTAACACTTGAGCAAACATACCACAACTCGTAGCGATACTAGTTGAAATATGTGTAGATCTACAAATTTACAACAAGAAAACCAGGATTTATGTCTCCTATCACAACGATGTCCTCACCTTCTGGAGGGTACAAACCGCTTTCTTGCTTCTTGTCGTCGACGCTTACATCTCAAGCAACAAAGAAGCTATCAAATTATCGAAAGTCATAGAAAAACCATGGTCGTCATCGATGTGTTAGCATCGAAACACAATTTCATCACCAAGCTTCTCATTTTGTTCTCATATCTAGCAGTTAATGTTTCACGAACAAGGTGACCTATCAGCAGCGCATAGCGCTTGATTGAGCGATTTTCGAAGATAAGAGACGACAATACGACAGCGCAGGGAATTATTGATTGGTCTAGAAACCATTACTGATGTAAATGTTAACAAAATGGTCAATAATAGCATTCAATAGGCAAGAACTCTGGAATAAGTTGACCACTGCATCGCCAAATACGAGGGGCTGGAAGCACAGTGGCATAGATTGTAGTTCAATAAGACGTACAAGGCCTTAGTTCCACCTAGACTCAGGCCAACAAAGTTTCCCATTCGTACAATGACAGGATGTTAATGCCAGACATGATGAATACCTCGGATGCACTAGAACGGCCGTCTCAGGATTCTAGGAAAAATTTTTTACACCAGCATCCGGAGTCATTCATGAAGAAGACAAAAGTGCTGAAGAAGCTAAGCAAACACGTAAATCTGAACAACTTCGTGGACTAAGGATGCCAGAAACCAAACGAAAGAATGAAGTAATTGGATTCGCATAATATGTGGTGCTAGGTCATATAGAGAAAAAAAAAACGCTAAATGTAATGGAACTGATTGTTGCCCTAAACCGTAGTGTTACCATGAGGGCAGAATTTCCAAACCTAAACTATACCTACATACTTGAACAGGACGAACAAAACACAGCCCCGAAGAATAGTCGTTGTCAGTTAAACATTCAAAGATTCTCTCACGACTACCTGTTTCCAACGATACATATGTATATATATATATATATATAAGCATATTTTGCTACATTTTACATGACTCGTCATCACATCTACTGCGCAGATAAAGGGATAAAAAAGGGTAGAGCTCTCGGCGTTGATCAATCCCTGAGGGATGCACCATGCATTCGATTTCACTAAGCATCGTTGGAGGTGATTGAATGCAAATCGGCCTTTACAATGACTCGTAGTGGCCTACCGATGTGTCCAGTCAGAGCTGCTATCCTCCCAGACAAGTCTGGTACCAATTTGCCGATCCTGGAAGGATGGAAAACTTGGTGAGACATGGGTGCGGTGATCGATTCCACTTGTGTGTTGCAGAGTGTCTCCGACCACTGCGTCACACGTGCCCACTTGTGCGATTACAAACATCAATAGGTGTGGACTAGCGACAGCATGGAAAACTGATCAAGCGTATGGTGTTTGCTGATTGAAAGTGATGAGAACGGAAAGAGTGACGAAAATAACTTCCTTCAGAGGCTCAAGATGGATCGATGCTTAACATATTCTCTTCAACGGCATGAATATTCGTAGTGAGCGACCAAAGAACGCCACTGACGAAAAAAAGTCACCATATGCTAACGAATTCGACCAGAAACGTTCACATTTGTAACATTACGATACTAAGTTTAATGAGAAGTGTACACTCCCAGATATAAGCTCAGGTGGATGTTCTCGGATGTCACAACGGTGTCCAAAACCCAGACGATATTCCACTAAAAAGGTGAATTGAAAATTTATGAAACTTCCTTGATTATCCAAATGCGATCTCATGATAAGTAAGCACTTTAAGAACACGTAAATCTATCAACGAATGAATGCTGAATAGAATTTCTGACGAGACCATGGACAAGATATTCATACTCCTAGATCTTCATTATAGACAATTGACAGCTCTCGTAAGTTAGGATAACTGTACTAGTTCGTAACAAAATCAGTGCGCGGCGTGTAACGCAGTAGTGCAGGAGTTGGAGGCGCTCTGCAATACACATGGGATCGATCTGCGCGCCCCAGGTTCACCAAACCTTCCATTCTTCCGTAGTCGAAAAATTGTTAGCAGACTTGTCTGTGAGGATAGCAGCACTGGCTCGATACATCGGTAGACCACCGCGAGTCACTGTATGAGCCAAATACGCATTCAATCACCTAAGACCATGCTTAATGAGATCGAATGCATGGGCAATCCCTAAGGAATTGATCAACGGCGAGAGCTCTATTCTTTTAGATTTATAGATGTACTTTATATTTATATTTATATGTACACATATATAATGTATATGTATAAATGCGGGTGAATATATAGGTGCATTATTAAGTAATATAATACAAAAATGGATTTGAACAGAAATTTTAAGGAACGCAAAACACACCACGAGCGGTTATGAGAGACGTTGTTCTGACCATGGACTGGACTGAAGGCCGTTAGGGTGGGGTTTGCCTCTCAGAATCGATGCTGTCAATAGCAGAAACACGGAGCGCACGAAAATTTATCACGTACCTCCCAATCCCAGTCTAACTAAAAAACCATAACGATTGAAAAGGTACAAGAATAAAGTTAAAATCTGTCCAATCCTAACGGCTTGCAATTTTATGATAAGTACTACGTATGTTCCTAAGTTTTATTAAAAAGGCATTGCAGCATGCCGTACAAGCTGAGATAACCAAAGAATCGCCTCTACGGTGGAAACGAAAGTATTCCAAAATATTTCAGCGCCTTAAATTAAACTTTAATGGATCCTCAGAATAACTCCGAATCGAAAACGAACAAATCACTGCTGAAAGATTCTCATTTGTTAAAAATACTGAATTCCAGCACTATACGGAAGGTGATGGCCACGAACAAAAGTTACAATTTCTTCTAAACAAATGGCAGTTTGAATTGGAGTCCTAGGAATACTGTGATAAGGATTCTAGAAGAAGCAGGTGTTTAAAATTCATTTATACGACCTCTTACACTGACTAATGCGTTTAGAACAACAGATGATAAGACGCGAAAAGAACAAATATGAACCCGATAGACATCAATATGTGATTAAAAACCAGCTAAAAGACATTTACTAAGCACTAGTTTCTAAAAAAGACGCGGCTAGAAAAGTGGTAACTGACGCAGTGCATCAGGATGCATTGTATTGGCTCGACCGCGTCCCTAACGTTTTCCTCCAATCCATGGTGGAACGCCTTGGCTCGGCTACTTCCAAGATCACCTGGAGAAACGAGTCGACCAACATTCCATACCATCCACAAAGAAGATAAAATCCTCAAACAGTGGTCAAAACAACAGGCCAAATGCTCGAAAAGCTTTGTGGACGATAAATGCAAGGGAAAACGAGTCGAATGGAAAAAGTGCCGGTATCCGCAAAGCAGAATTTGATGACGAAACACGTAAAAAAAACTTTTTTTAAAATTCCAAACCAAGAAAGTGGAGACACATCCATTTCATTATTTGAAATGGTCTTCTTAACATTCGATAGATCTAACGTCGACAGTTCAGTGCAGGAATAGCGGCTAGTAATGTCTGGAATGTAGACACTAAGAAAACAGTGAAAAGTGTGGAATATTACGGAAGTCTGCAGTTACTATACTACAGCAGATTTCATGAGTCTTCTTGCAATGCCGTGAGAAAACTGAACATGGTAAAGCTAACGATTATGAGACAAGCTTCCATAATTGTAAGAGACTGCAAACAAGCCACCTTTAGTACTTATCCCTAATCGAATCGATATGGAATTTTTAAGACTAAGGACGATTTAACAGAGCAGATATAGATTCTGAAGTTCATAACTTCCTCCAAACGGAAGGAAATCGCATAAATATCGTAATACCAATGAGAACGATAGAAATTACGTTCGATATAGCGATGCAGTAGTGGTAAGCTTAAAAGCTAAATTAATCCCTATGAGACTAGAAAATGATCCACTAAAATTGAAAATTTTAGCCATTTGAATTGAATAATTAATACTAAAACATTGAACCAGCTGTCATCCTGTCATCTATCTATAGACATAATGGCGTTCATAGTGAAGATAATTAGAATCCGAACAACAATGATGAGACCTAGTAACTACCGTAGGTTCGTACTCACCAGTGGAATCTCCTTCTCACGGTCCAAGACGAAAACATTAACAACAGCTGGCACGCTGATAGGAAGAACCTCTGATTCAACTTTGGCACGTGGAAGGCTTAACAGAAGGCTATTGTTATTCCCTGTTAGCTGAAACAGAACCTTATTACAAATGCGCCACTTTTTTCGAGATTACGGTCATAAACAGCGATGCAGTTTACTTATTTATTGACATGGCATCACGTGAAATTTCATATGGTCGCAAAATAAAAGGACGATGCATATTGTAGATAACAATGAAAGAACAATGAGAGAATAACTACCTCCCAACATCCTTTTATTGTACCGTTTCGCAAGTACGAGCCATCCTGCGGTAGCAACATTCGCAGAAGAGGTCTAACCATCTCATCTTTCTCGAACGCTATCTCGACTTCTTGACCGTTACAGTCTGAACTTTCATATATGTGACAAAAAATAGTTCCATTAAAATAAGATTTTGATTATCTATAGCAACTCTTATTAGCTAATTCATTTAGAAGCATTTATTGGCTTCTTATCAAGATTCCTTCAACGTAACAGTGAACGATATAAGTGCGCTGTGCAGATATAAAGGTTACAGTTTGAACCAACCACTCGTTTTTTGCACTTTAGCGACGATACTGGTGGCTATCGAACGGATACGTAAAGCACAAAGAGCTTCCGAAATGGAACTATCCGAACTCTCAGGTCCAGAATGCTGCGACCAACTGACATCCAGACTGCGGTTAATTAAAGCTTACTAAGATAACTTCGTGGTGAAACGAAAGCCAAAAGATTAGATAAAACCTTCGGAAAGTTAATGAAAGTACAGGTCTTCGCAAAGACAGGAAGTGTGCAATCCTATCGAGATGAAATACGCGAGGATCACAGGTCTTCATTTCATGGCGCGTCCACTCGCTATGTTCCAACAAAGCATCGAGGTACTAAAGTGATTTCAAATGCTTGAGAACTAATTCAATAGAAAGATATTTCGCTAGTGAATAATAGACAAATAACAGCAAACTACTTCTGAAGATGAACAAGATGGTACAGCCACCTTCAAAGCATCTGCAAGCGCAGCGCTTGCGATCGAACTATCCGAACACTCTTGGCTGGCAACTGAAGGATGGAAACGCACCTTAACGATTCATAAAAGTATTAAAACAACATATATATATCACCATAGCTGTGCTGAGATAATTGCAAAACTCCAGTGGGTATTGAACCTACCATTAGCCTTACCGAGGACTAACGCGTTCATCACCACACCGTGCAGTTTCTTTGCTTCAAACAAAAAAAATTGTATTTCAATGCATATATCGCCCATATCAACACAGTAACATTGCGAAATCGAAAAATCGAAGGACGATCCGTCTTTTTTTTCCTAGGAAATCAATCGCCACTGCGAGAAGATCTGAACATGGAGGTTTCCTATTGCTGGGAAACCGTACACTACTGGCAAAATCAACCGCAGTACTGGTTCGGTATTTACTCGGTACAGACTCGTTTTTCAGTGGCTTTTTGTCTCACCCTAGGTAATTTTTTAACTACGAATTTTAACACAATCGCCAACTAAGTTTGAAAAGAAACTGCCAATTTATATATTCCATTACAACGTCGAAAAAGCTCACTACTCTTCGTGTCAGATTTTAGGAATAACGACTGAGTGTACAGATTTTAATATACGTTATAGATTTTATTCAAACTTAACAGCCACTGCTCGTTCTACAATGCCTTAGAAAAACTTTGCCCCGTATAGAAATGAGGGTAAACACAAAGAACATACCTTCACCATTTTGGCTTTCTTACTTCCAAGTCCAACGACATCACATGGAACAGCCCAACCTTTGCCTGGAATACATCGAGGTTCTCCGATCTGACGATCGAAGTCTACAGCAACCGGCAAGACACGGTTACGAATTTTCCTAGAAATCAAGTTTACAGTTGTATGGGGATTTCTGCGTAGATTTGCTCTCTAATGATAGCCTCAGTTTAATTTCGTTTGAATGCATTAGAGAAATTACTAAGTCCATGGCTTCCATGAAAGTGAGAGAGACAGAGACATAGAAGTAGGCAGAGAGGCAGAGAGAAAGGGAGGAAGAGAGAGAAACAAACGATTAGTGGGGAGAATGCGAAGAACAGAATGAGAATCGTAACGAAATGTCTTCAGTGGTGAAGAAAGCATTGAACTCACTGCAATGGTCGACTTATTATAAAACACCACTCGCTATCTTTTAGAGTGACAATTATCCGAGAGAAGTCTGACTATGGTAAGAAGTGGGCTCGGAAGAGCAATTGACGCAATATAAAGGGGAAAATCGTGAATCATTGGTCTTAGAAAAGGCAGTTCTCTTTTTCCTGGATCTACTAACTCAGCGAAAAAGACATCTTGGTGGTTTTGATTACATGATCTTAAGTAGAAACGCGTAGCTACGTATTGTATTCAGAACAACTGTGCAAGAACAAAGCTCTCAGGGAGATAAAAAAAAATATGTTTTCACAGAACAATTTTTGAAGGGGTTTCACTATGCCGAAACTAATATGAGTTCTGCATGAGTCAATATGAGTTCGACAGGACAACGACTGGTTCCAAGCCTTGACACTCTACATGTGTCGAAGGTGGGAGCAGCATTAAACGATCTGAGGCCTTTACTCTACTGTGGACACATATAAATGACTGCCTTGTATCTTCTCCAAATTATAGCAGATGGACAAATACTATGAGTTATTGAACGAACAATCAAAGTACATAACATTCACCCGACAGAAACCGAAATAAAACTGGTTTCTATTTCTGAACGTTAAGCCAAGTAGTAAAAACGTACTGGTTCATTACCTCTCCTCTCACCGCTCACACACAAAAAAAGATCTTGTAAGAAATATGTTTCGAACAGCCACGAGTGCATGTGCAGGAGGAGAGCTAAAGGGAGAATCCTTGAAAATGGCGCGGCAAATAACCATTTCCAATGGCTACGAAACAACAGCTTCTCGGTATAAGTGAAGACGAAACAGAGACATAACGGCGAAGATTTTGAAGGAGAAGTTATCATCTTCGCGCAGAAAACGAAAACACTGGGGCACAAAACCCTCGAGGCATTCTGGATAAATCCCGAGAATTCAAAACTGTCAATACCGACTCTCTATTAACCTCGGCATTGATCAATAATCACTGCTTTTCTTCAAAGTGCAAACACGAGATTAGTACAACAGCATTTATTTGCACACTATAGCTGACGTTTCGCCTTCTTCAGAGCTGGAAAAGACAAGTTGATATGCTATCTACTTAACCAAACACTTTCATAAAACTAAACGAACAAATTTGTTTTCGCGTAATAAACAGCTTCTTGTAAACAGTCACCGCTTTGCTCTTTGTAAGTCTTTCAGTTATTTGGTGTAGACCAACCGCTTAGAATATTACATGGGCGAGAAATGTGCCTCGTTCAATTCAGAAATCATCCTGGGGTATGGCGCACACCTTTGTATTCTTGGAATTAGTCCAAAACACTTCATCAAGAGTTTTACGTGCTGATGTTTTGAATTCGTTAAAGAAGGTAGTTATCTTTACTTCAAAATCTTCTCCGTTATATTTCCATGTCCTATGTGCGCCTACTCGAGAAGAAAATCTAAAATTGAACCGCAAGGAAAAGTATTATGTGATCACGCGTGATTAGCGCCATACCATAGGCTGATTCTCTGACCCGACCCAGGCACATTCCTCGCCCATGTTATACCCCGTGTGGTTGACCTCCACCAACTAACTGGAAGACTTAGAACAAACAAAACGGTGGTGTTCAAAAGAAACTGTTTAGAATCAGAATGAAAGTTTATGTATTAAGTCCTATATGTTAAGGTTATGAAAGTGTTTAGCCGAGTAGACCGTATGTCCAGTGAATCTGAAGATGAAACCCAGGGAGGAATGCCTCTTAATCATGCATGATCCTACACAGTATTTAAGACTGACATTTTTATGTGAGAGCCACATTGTGGTTCGACGTCAAGTCCGCGCGATTGGTCTCCATGTGGCATATTCAGTGGAAGACTCATAGAAAGCTGTGGGTGTGCGAAGAAGTCACGTGGTTTCAGTCCGTTTGAAATCTCGGTTTTGTGATTTTACCGTTTTGGTTATTGCGGTGTTGGGCTGGGTACGTTGTAGCCAAGTTGACCCATATAGACTCCGTAGAAGACAAAATCGGCCGAAATTTCAGCTTTCCGTCAACAAATAGGAAATAAATAACGTCGGTTCGTTCACCAGGAACATAGTGAATGACTAGATCAGTGCCAAGGATAACAGAAATTCGGTCTTGGGAATTCCTGCTAATATGAGCGCCTACATACTGTAACAAAGTGTTGTCATTTAAAAATTAACATGAACTACATCTGCTAGTAATAGGCCTTCATGGCGAAGTGAAAACACGATAGAAAACTGGACATTAGTCGAAAATCTTGAGGAGAGTTCCGAATATCCGCAGCGTTCAAACTATAGCTTGATATGGGTTAGAATTACGATATGAGAAAAATAGTGCCATATTCTTAGCCCGGAGAAAACATCAAACTTAGGTGAGAACCTCTATATTTCTTCACTCATATTTCATATTTGTTAAAAGAGCTAAAACAATGAAAATCTAACGTAGAAACTGAATTCGTTGAACAAACAGCAGAACTTACCGATGATGTAGTTGCAAGATTACGGTGCCCTTTTCGAGAACATCGCCGGAATGCATTTCGGTTGGCCGCAAACGAATGTTGTGACTGCCTTCAAAGTTTATGTAACGAAATTTTCACACGGTATAACAAAAAACGCAAGCATGACGTGGATATTACAATCGAAAGGTGGATATTAGATACGAGAAGTATCATGAGAACAAGAATTCCTAGACTGATAATGCGATTATTCAATGAACACAAAATCACAATGATGATGAGATATTTGCAAAACTCCAGGCCAGATTCGAACTCGCGACTATCCTTTCCGGAGGCACACGTGTTAACCACTCCATCGCTGAGGTCCTTGCTTTACCTATCTATCAGCGGGCCATTGTAGTTTCGACTGCAGCCTCAATTTAACTGGGTTCAATGTCGATTTGTGCTCTCCAAACCATTCCCGTTAACAGATGATTGCTGATGACACCGTTAGGTTAAAAACTGGATGAGAGAAAGGCAAAGCATGGGAATCAGTGGTGCAGTGGGCAACATTTAAGCCCATCGGAAATTCCAACCGCTGGTTCGAATCGTTCCTGCGGCCCAAGTTTTGTAAACATCTCAGCACCACTGTGGTTCTATTTCTCATAATACCCTGCCGTGAAAATTATTTTTTATTTTTATTTTATTTTATTTGACCCGTTTCCGCGTCTACTGTGTGGATCATCTTTAGGTCTACTGTGCAGATCCCAGCACTTCCCATATTCGATTCGTTTCCTCGATCCATTGTCCACGAAGACCTTCCAACTTTACTTGTGACTTCGGTTGATGCTTGAAGATTTTCATTTCAACTTGAATGTCGTGGAATGCCGGTCGAATTGATCCAATTCCCCGACCCCAAAGGAATGAGAGGGTTGGCTGGCCCAGTGCAAAATCGAACTAGCACCACTCGTGATGATGGGCATCACTACCATTGTGCTATAAGCTCCCGCGATGGAAAATAATAGGCAGTAAATAAAAAAATTACACATTGTGATTACAGAATCAGCTTAAGGCAAAGTTATAGTCATATACTCCCACTGAACGAATGGAAATACGAACAATACAGTTGTTATTAGCAACCTAACACGTTATCAGTAATGCTTCAAAGGTTTAATTTTTCTCCACAATCAATACTGGCGAGATACAAAGACATCAAGCTAGTAATCAAAAATCAACAAGAGTACTTAGACTGGATAGCCATTTTGAGAATGGGCCTAAGCAATTGAATATTTCGTCTTGATGTGCCCTGTGATACTAGTACATCACCACTGGTTAACCATATCTTTTATTTGAGATTCTGACATAGTGTAGAGCTAGGACATCCCCAGGTCATCGTGGCAGGCAATTGTTGCCGTTGTCAATTAGGGATTTTCATCATTACTACACCTTATTAACCTCGCCAACTAGTCTACTACTTCTGCGGGTGATCGTGTCAGGGCTACCTAGCCTCACTGTGCAACAAATTCTTATTTTCCTTCGCCGCTATGAGGTGCTAACTCAATACAGCAGCCATATTTATAATCCTACCTGAACTAGAATTCCAAGGAACCCTTGAGGAACAAATAAACAGGACGAAATGAACTTACAACTTAAGAAACCGGAAAATAAAAAACACTGAAGGGACTGATATAAATGACTTCTTTTGCAGATCATCAATATTTAGAAATTCAGAGAATTAGCAGTCGGGAACGCTAAAAATGAATTTCGGTTGACACAAAAGCCCTAAACGCCCGTGTTGGAGCGGTGGCGCTGAGACAAAGGGACCACCGCATATCGAAATATGTGACGAATCAATCATGCAAAGATTAATAGGTGAAGAAATAGCTGGAGAAGTACATGACATAAGAAGTTACAGTATATGGAACCTGTAATGATTCTAGTAAGAATTAATGTTGAAAATACCTTAAGGAGCTAAAAGAGAGGATATAAATGTGGCGCCCATATTATTACAATGCTAACTTTATTACTATGACCGTTACGCTTTAGAATCGAATAAAGAGGAAGGACTCGCATGGTGTGGTGGTGAACGAGCTAGTTCACGGAAAGGACAATAACGCGTTCGTTCCCCACCGCAGACATCTGCGGTCCGGAGTTCTGCAAATATCTCAGCATTATGCGAATAAAGAGGGTTTATTTTCTGGATTCATCTCAAAACTTTGTGGTAAAAAAGGCGTACGTTAGCGAAATCTTCACTGAATAATGTGCAATCATAACGGAAATGTCGGGAAAAAAAAGCGTAGCAACAAGAAAACTCCGACGATCAATATAAATTAGCCCGAAAATCCGAGTAACAGGAGTGGGACGGATGAAAAGGGTTCAGTTCAAGGATGTTTTCTTTCGTTCCAGAATATTCAATTGATTTCAAAACTACACGATAGCCGCCCGAGCTACACTATCGATTTGCAGAAAAAAAAGGAAGGGGAGAAGCACATTTCTATAGTACAGTCACATTTTGATAGATGAAGCCAGAAAACTGGGATACGAAAGAAAAACGAAACTCTGACTAGAGAACTACGACAATGAGGCTGACGCTAAATTATAAAGAAATAAATCGTTGAAGACGAATTAATCACTTTGATTTGCCGTTTCATGGGAAACTTCGTGTCTGAAGTTCTACTTACTCGAATAACAAAAAAGATTTTGAATCACTACTATCTCGTCTGAAACAGAATAAGGCGATAAGGACAAATGTGAATTCTAATGGTAATAGTTGCACGGGGAGATTGGTTTAAATGGGGTCGAGGAAAGGGGTGGTGCTGGCGGCGGCTATCGACGGGCGCCTTGACGTCTACAGTCGTTTCTCGGCGCTGTTCGAGAACTTTCTCGAAACTTCTTTGACATTAAACGAATTTTAGAGCCGTCATCAACAAAACAGAAGACCCGACAGTTAAAGTAATTGTACATATATGTAGGGATCAATTTACGAATCGATCAGCAGCGATAACCACTGGTTTACGACGATCTACACTGAATTTCCTGAACATCACCGAGTATTTCGCAACAGTGTAGAAGGGCTCTGCGAGGAAATCAACGAACCATGAAAGCTATGGATCACATAACAGTGGTTCAAAATCCCAGGATTTTGCGTTCGTAGTTCACAAAGGAATATTTATCTTCTCCATAATCGTAATTGAGGCTACCAGACTAAATTCTACGAGAGAAATGGTAAATAAGAGTCTAAAGGATCAACAAAATATAAAATATGAGATCTAAGAGAAAGAAAAGTGGGAAATATATGACTTTTGTAGGCGAACTATGACGCTATTCAAAGTTAGTACCAGTTTCCGGAGTAATTAAACACGACTATGGCGGGAATACTTTCTTCTGGTGTCGAAAAAACGTGGAAGTTCTCTCAGTTAACAGAAAATGATCTTGACGCAACGGATCTTATCAAGCAGATAAGAAGAAATTCCAAAGAAAGAGAATCAGAATGAAAAAGCTCCAGGATTCCAACCGAATTTCGACAGCGCCAGGCTGTGAGCTGCAGCAGCCCGGGGAATGGAATCAATAGGGGCAGCTGCAGCGAGTGAGCCGGCTGGTCGGCGGTCACTCGATAGCAGACCATGTACTATTCAGCTAAGCGACCAGTATTTTCTCAGTAGTACAGGTTTATCGACATAAAAATCGGCTACTGGGAGCCGTCATGACGGAAAGTGCTTTTTTGTGAAGTGTCACGCTGTCTGTCTGCTGCTGCTAGTGTGCACTCGACTGAACACTTCCCGTCAGTCAAACGTTGGCAGAAATACTGTGCTCGTGGGCATTTGATCTTCAGATTTTCTTTTTAGTATCAGATGTTGTAAAACTTCATAAAGAATAGAAATATGTAGCGTCAAATTTCTCATGTTGTGCGTAAAGGCTTAGTAGTGTCAAACTACCATGCAAGTTCAAGAGATTGTCTCTTGTTTTTTATCAACTTTAGAAGCAATTGACATTTAAACGGTGCTTTCCAGAGTCTGCACTATGTAATTTCAAATCAATCTCTCTTTTACCGTAGTCAATGTTACTAAAACTCAGATAGGATAGTAACAAGGCCTAATCATACAGCTGCGTCCCAGTCCCAATCCATCACGTTCGACTCGCTGCTTTTTTTTCCACAGAGCCTTCTAGACCTAGGCTAACAGATGTTGCTGGTTTGTTGGTTTTCACGGAGGGATAGCGAGTGAACATTCTAAAGACCATCACGGCCGACAGGGGTCATATGGCAGGCACTCCCTCGCCCGGCTGTCCTCTCCGTCAATAGCATACGGACTCGTATTCCTCGGCGGGGGACTGATGTTAATGGTCTTTGGTTCGGCTCACTTCGTCTGCTTCACCTCGCATCTCCCGTCGTTCTCATTCGAAACTGCTGACGGGTCCGCTGTGAGTAAAAGCCGTTGTTGTGACCACAGGACGGAGTACTTTGAAAAATCGCTAGCGGTTTTCCTCGACTCGAAAAACGCTAACTGATGTTTACAATAAGAGGTTTTCTAAACTAGGAACTGATTAATGAAGTGATTTAGCAGAATAATTTCATCTTGTCATAGATAATGTCCCGATGGCGACTCCGTTCTTATCTGTTAATCTTTCGACAGTGTTTCGGACGAGGCGGCAGGTCGCGTGACCTGGTCGGATTCTCTCCGAAAATCGATGCGCGGGACCTGCGAACAACTCGGATCGCATTGTGGAGGCGATCTTCGTCACTCAACGGGTACAGTCAGGAATTGCTGCAGGGGACGGTAAAACTACTTAGTAGGCAGTTTTTGTATAGATTCACCTGAGAAGAAAAGGACAAAGAAAGACAGCTCAAAATCGGATAAAGGATGAAACGTTCTGCGTTAATGCAGTCTTTTGAGGTGCCCTATAAATTCGCTTTCAATGAGCGTCGCACAGGTGATTGAATGCATCACGTGTCACCTGCATCGCCTGTAGTCCCGTTGATCGTCGAGTGACTCGAGCGGGCGCCAGTAAATCTTCCATTTTTCCCTGTCGCGTGCAAGAGTGGCCCAGTGGGTTCTGCTCGCACTAGGGACTCGTCGAGCATCATATTTTTCTTCAAGGCTCT